ATGCAAAGTGTGAAGTTAGCCCCTCAAATCCTCAAGTTCAAAACCCACAACCTCTCTGAGGCAATCTGTCCCCTGGTAACAAGGGACAAGTGACATCTTCTGTCACTCACATGCCCCAAACAGCATTAGTTCCACCCGGATGGCAGAGGGGTTCCCTACCCTGCCCAAGGCGGGGTCTGTCACTCGGAGCTCGGAGTCCAAGACCGGGGCCAGGGTTAGGGCCGGGGTTTCTGCCGCTCGCTTTGTTCCCGACACTCCGAATCCAGATCGAATCCAGTTCGAGTTCATCCCCCGCCAGCTCAGTTCCCCGCAAGGGCGATGGGGATGGTGAAGCCGCGTTGCTGGGGCTAGAGCTGGAGGCTAGGGCTTCGGGCTCGGCTGGTAGCAGCAGCAGCATTATGTTTGTCAAGCCCCTCGGGGGTACAGAGCCGGTGGTTCATCTGACAGTAGATAAGGGGCTGATAAAACCGTAGGCGGAGGTTAGGATGTCAAGATGGATAAGGATAGCCATTGTCCGCGACCCTGTCCTGTAGAGGGAGGTAAGGTGCGTAGACGAATGCAAGAGAGATTCGCATAGGGTATAATATCCGACATGAAAAGGAAGCTATCCATAAACGGTACTGTACTTTAATAGTCAAACCCAACAACTCCCCAGTGTCTACTTTAGTCCCTTCCCTGTGCTTTCCCTCTCTCCCAAGAGCATCGTTGATATGTGACGAGTCCCATCCATCCACCAACCAGTCAGTTAAACCCCTCATCCCGCAGACAAGAGCATCCATCCAAAAGGGAGCCGACAAAAAACTCCCGTAGGTATGACATGGGTATGTCCCATTCCAATTAAGCAAAAGAGAAGCCGATTCCATCTTTTTCCTTCCCTTTACCTTTCTCCTCTCTTCGCCTTCTGCTTGTCCATCGTGATCCAAGCCACAGGGAGCGTGGCAGCCAACGAGAACCTGGCTCAGTTGCGTTGAGCTGGTAAGACGACACCTCTCGGCTCCTCTAAAAGAGCCCTGTTGCTGTGGTGTATCTCTGTGTCCATGCCCAACGCAACACAACATGACCCGAACCGACTGCTGTGACAGCGACGATGACTAAACTCCAGTAGGTACCTAGGTAGGTAGTTATATTTTGGATTCCCATTTGTCTGTTTGTCTGTCTGTCTGTCTGTCTATTGAGTAAACACCCGAGCGAGAAAGCCTCTCATGTCTCTCTTTCTCTCCATGTTCCGCGACGTAAGCTTGCGTCTCATAAATACCATCCAACCGTTCATCCATCCGTCCGTCCGTCAACCAGGAAATCAATCAAACCAAACCAAGCCAATAACCAACGAAATCAGAAATGAAAAACATGCATTAAAACACGGTTCATAATAAACACCAAACCCCCCTCTCTCCTTGCTTTCCCCAAGGAAAAAAAAAGAGTTCCGGCCTGCCTGCTCCCTCCTCGATACGAAGCCAAAATGAAACCAAAAAAAAGGTAACCAAAAGTTGGAGGAAGAGCAGCATAAGCCAAAATACAGTCAGTAAGTCAGTCAATCAACCCGGTATCCGTAATTGTAGAGGTAGATGATGGTCGTTTCGGATTCGGATTGTGGTTGGTCATTCGATCGGATCAGGCCCAAAATAAGAAACAAGCAAATAAGAAACCCCAAAACCTCCAAGCGAGTCCAAAGTCCAAGGGAAAAAAAATACTGTCGCCTCCCAACGCCGTAGTCATGCATAAGAATACTCCGTCCGTAAGTACGTAGTAGTTTAGGTAGTTCTTGTTGTACCCTATTCCCCAGGATCGATGGATAATCATAAGAATATAGTAGTAGACCCGCGTTCGGAAACCGCAAAAGGAGAAGACAACACTGAAGGCGTAAAAAGTGACTGGGACCATGTTTCGTGTATGTAGGTAGGAGGTGGATATGTAGGGTTCGTTGTGGTTGTGGTTGTGGGCGTAGTGTCTTATCAGGTCATCCGAGATGAGAGGGTCGTGGTGTTGTGAGATGAGATGGGGTATCGGGGTATCAGAGAATGCCGGAGTCTTTGAGGGCGTTGTTGAGGATGGTTTCCTTGACTGCTGCGAAGACGAGGCGGATGTTGGAGGTATCGGTTGCTTGTGTCAAGCTGGGACATGTTAGCTTCTGTCTGAGCCTAGCGTAGAAGGGGGGGGGGGTTGGGTAGGGTAGGGAGGACATACTGGGGATATAAGTTCAAATGGGCCCTATTGACCTGGTTAAACCGCCACAGAAGGTATTTGGCCGCCTTGTTGACGTCGTTGCCGCCGGAATAGTCGGGGAAGTAGTTGCCTAGCGGCGACCGGCCCAATTTCTGCTTAAAGATGTCGACCTTGTTGAGGAACAAGATGATGCTCGTCCTCATGAACCACCTCGAATTGACCACCGAGTCGAATAGCAATAAGCTCTCCATCATGCGATTCTGAAAGAGTGAGCTACTGAGTTACACTAAAACACCGGTCAGAGAGGGAAGGGATCGCTACCTGACTGCTCTCTTCCAACAAGACCTGGTCGTACTCGCTGAGGGCGACACAAAAGATGATGGACGTGACATTCTCAAAGCAGTGGATCCACTTCTTACGTTCACTTCGTTGACCGCCGACGTCAAACATGCTGCGAGCGATTAGCGGTCGCCAATGTACCAGAACCATCAGGTACTCACTGAATGCTAAGTTGACCCATCTTAAACCTCGTCTCATATATACCTGTCGTTTTTGTTCTGGCGCGAAGCACATCCATCTCGCAAGGCAGGTAATTCGGCCCAACGATTCTCAAGGCCTCGTTAAAGAAGCTGTGTAGCGGCGCGGTCAGCAGGGTCGCACTCAAGAATGCAGTTTGCAGGCCGTATGAAAAAAACTGGGGGACACTCACTATTCTGCCGAGTCCATGAGATAAAACTCTGTTTGCCTCTCCATGACCTGCTCCCTTGCAGGATCATTCCATACTGATTGGACGGCCATGCCGACCTTGGGGTCGATCCTGGCCTGTGGGTTTGTGTCAAGAGAGTAGTCGAGAAGATAGTCGATGTATTCTTCGTTCTCGGGGCGCACGGGCTTGATCTCAAAGTCGCGCATGGCGCCGCAGAGCGCCTTGGCGCATTCGAGAAGGTTTTTATATATCGTTGGGCGGTAGGCAGCTAGTTCTTCCTGTGAGTAGCCTTTAAGGTGGATAATTTTCATCTGCTTCACAATCGTGGACTTTCCGCTCTCGCCGGAGCCTGTAACGTATCAGCGCGCTGCAGATAAGATCAATAATCACCGCCAGTTCTGGACATACCGAGCAGAAGGATCTTGCATTCTTTCCGTAACCGCTTCATGTCCTCCTCAAGATCCTTATCGATCTTGTTGCTCTTTTTCTTCTGCTCCGACTCCTCCCCACTCGTACTCATACACATCCCCATGGCGACCATGAATACACGCGCAGAACGGTTTCAAAAGGTCGGTATATATATAAGAGATCCTGAAAACCGAGCGCCAAGACTCGGGCGGCGGAAGCTGAAATATAGGGTTTTGGGATGCGGCGATGTCTCTTAAAAACTCATGAGAATTGAAGCGGAGAACGTCTTCGCTCCGGCTTAAATCGTCGTCGCAGGGTTCAGCACAGAGAAAGTCGAAAAGTAGGGCACAAAGTGCTTAGTCGCAGGATCGATGGGTTGTTTTGGGCCGCGGGGGGGGGGGGGGAGAATGCCTATGGATGGCTTGGTGAAGAGGGGTTGACTGGTTTCGGGTATGGAGGCTACACTAGCCGGCGGGCGGAGCGGCGACTTCAACCGGAGCCGACGATCGATAGAGGTAATCCACGCGACGCTGCTGACGAAATGCAACAACCATACAAAAGAAGACCCGCTACTGCCGAGATTCGGGAAGCGCGGGCGTTTGTGCCGACAACGGGCTGGGCGAAGGGTCGCACTTATGGGATGGAATGACCGAGTCTGTGCGATGTACGGTGTAGTGCGGCGGAATGGGTATATATATATATATATATATATATATATATATACGTAATGTGCCTAGAGGGTGACGATGGAGGGGTCAGGCTGGCAGGCAGTAGGCTGACCAGCGAGAATGAATGAATGGCAGAGTGCTGCTGCGAGGCGGCGAATGCTTGCTTCCAGGATGGCAGTTGCCAGATCCAGGGCCACAGGGCGGCAGTTCAACGACGCAATGGCGCGGGAGCCCGGGCACGCTTCATGGAAGAACCCAGCGCGGGCTAACGATGGAGAGCTCGAGGTGCTGCGTATTGGAAATTCAACAGGATTCGACGCAGCGGCGACGATGGCGATGCGATGCAATGCGAGGGCACGACGTGGGCGTCGTCGAGACAGGAATCCGTAGGGTTGGATGGGAGAGAAACAGGCTGGAAAGGCTGTATGTGAGAGGAGACCGACAGAACGGAACAAGGCAGGGTTGCGGATGTGGTGGTGGTTTGGATCCTTTGTCACAGCGTGAGCTCGGTAAGGAAAACCTGGAAGCCAACTCCAAGCCAGGGACCCGGCCCGGCAGCGCAGTGCGAAGACGGCCCCGTCCACCGAGTACAAGCAGAAGCTGGAAAGCTGTTTCGAAAGCGGAAAGCAGGAGGAGAGCTGGGAGCGGAAATGCTGAGAGCCTGAGATGGAGTGGATGGGATGCAGGGCAGACACAGCGAAGATGTGCAGTGCAGCCCTGGATCGATACAGAAGCAGCGTGCAGAACACTCGGCTGGGTGCAAAGATCAAAAGCAGAGAAACCGAGACAAATCGATTCGTCAATTCCGCGCAAAACTTCCCCGACGCAAAATTAGCGTAGCGTACGTAGCCAAAAGCTGTGTCCAGTCCGCTGCGTCGTTACGCCCACTCTCACAATTTCTCAGAGGCTCACTGGCCACTCAAGATTCGACGCAGCGGAATCCACCAGTGAACAGAACAAAAACGTCCGGGTTTCCTGGATGGCAAGCTTAGGAAGCTGCGACAAGATGCACCTAACATGTGCATCCACTCCCCAAAGTGGGAAGGCAGCAGTGGTGGATCGCCTGCCAGCAACACCCAAACGCACACGAGTGGTGTGGCCTCGACCTGCGCACGGACACCCGCAGCATGCGCCGCAGCAGACGACCACCTGCCCCAAAGCCTCCCCAAGCCCGTCCAACAGACCACTCAGCTCTCGCTGGGGACGCGCTGGGGAAGCACTGGGGCCCTGCCCTCCCTCGTTTCTGGCAAGTCACGTACCACTGCAAGACGGCGCTAGGCTTACACGGTATGGACCCGTATATACTGTATAACGCGGCGCGCCAGGCCTACTGGTGCTAGCGTCCATCGCGATGCTGCTCCACTGTGGTGGATGCCGCAAAGCATCGCTTGAGCCGCCCCAACCTGGGCTGCAAGCCGCCGGTCTGCGCCGGGTGCATGCTGTTCCTGAGCCAGAATTTTCCAGATCTTGAGCGTGGGCAGGCAGGCTTCTCTTGATGTTGAAGGGTTGGTTGTGCTGAGAAAACAGTCCATGTATCACATCAACTGAGATAACTTTTCTTTTTTTTTTTTAAATACGTAAACTTCAGCCCCGATACGATTTTCCTACGGACAGGCAACATGCAGCCGGGGGCACCGTTGACAACCTCCAACCGAACGCCATCTTCAGCCGCGATGCCGCCAGCCGGCGGAGTCCCCAGAAACGACTTGCAAGAGCCGCTGTCATCATGAGCCGATTGTGGTGTTGCTCACGTTGCCAAGGGGCCGGCCTCGCTTTTCACTGCCGTCGCAAGCCCAAACTATCACGACTCTGCTTTTCTAGCGATTCTTGTTCATTTCTATGGTTGACCCACCGTTCGTGTGCGTGCTGTGTTGCTTGGATACTGCTCAGCTTACAGCTTTTTTTCATTTGTTAAATTACGATTATAGGGTGTAAATTCGTATCGATCGATACGATCTTGACTCGTCCCTGACAACCACCTTTATGCTGTCACCAAAACACGTGGCAGCTTTCCCAAACGGACTAATGTTACCGGCTGTCTCATGTCGACACAGAGTTTTTAAGCGTTGCAGTAGGGTACTCTCTGGGCGTGACGTCCCTCCATCATCGAGCTGTCCTGGTCAAATGCCCTGGAAGGGCTTTCCACAAGGAGCAACAAACCGGGCAGGGTTTGTTGCTCAAGAACGTCTCGGTCCTGCACTCCGCACTGTCGTCCACAGTCCACTGTCTCATTCTCCCCGCGCGGGTTAGGGGCTGGCCCAGACAACCACGTGTCTTTGCTCACCTGTTCCCCGCGAGCCACAACAGAAAAACAGAAAAACAAATGCGAATAAAAGACAAGACTTAAAAACATCCGTGTGTCTTGTTCACTTGCCCAGATATTGTTCACTTGCTCAGATATCAAACATGATCGCCGCTGCCCAAGTAGACCAGGGATGGCAGTCCAGGCAGCGATGTTCCCGGGAAGCACTTCGACCGTCCACTCGTCCGGCGCGCGACGTCATGCAGAGGCTCCTGAAACGCTTCAATTTGAATATTAGTGAACATCTTGGGCCGTATGCAGGCAAAGGGCACGCGAGCAATCTGCGAAATCAAGATTCACGTAACTCACTTCTGTACACTGCCTCAGAGCTTGGAACTCCTACAGTAATGCATCCAACCATGCTGTGCGACTAAGGATCTGAATCGTGTATTACGCTAGCAATACTCCAATCTCATTGTCTTCGACTCGCCGTTTCATCTTTGTCCATTGCTTCAAGCAAAGCTTACCACTCAAACGTCAAGGCAAGCTTCCTCATCCCCGAAACAGCATCCACAAAACCCGGGCTGCCGTCATCCAAGGTACGTGCTCGGTACCTTACCCCGGATCGGAACCGAGTCCGGGAACAGGATCAGACAGGAACCAAGATCCCAGCAGCAACTAAAAACCGGCAAATGACGAGGACATGGATATGATGAAGTGAGATGTGCTCACGCAACGCACCTTTTTTTGACCCTTCTCAGAAACGTCTGCAAGCAGGCTAGCAAAAATAAAAAAAAAAAATAAAACTAAAAACAAAAAAAAATGGAAACCTGTTGACCTGACAAGACCGGCAGTTGACCCGAGACAACCGTTCACACTCACACTCTCCACACAACCATGAGCTCAGCCCTGACTTGCATCCTTGTCTTGCCTGCTGCTCACATCCCCAGGCGCCACATACACACATCTGCGCATGGCTTGAAGTTTTGTGAACAAAGAGCATGGTGTGGTATTGTGAAGGAAAGCAAACAATTCATTTTTGTTCTCACAGTCCTCCTCCGAAACATTTTCATTCCTTACATCCAGCATCAAACCAGCCCAAGCCAAGATAAAAGGGAAAATGAAGCAGTCTTACATGCATATTCTAGCGCGTTACATAGTATGCTCCTTTCCATGCAACAGGAAAAAAAAACACCTACCCACAAAAAAGTGTTCAGAGTTTCTTGGTTGGTCCAGTTTTCGTCGCCGACACCGCTACTGCTGCTGGCTGTGGGTGCCCCTTTTTTTGGCAGACAGGTTGCCAAGCATCTTTAAGAACGCTGCGCTGAAAATAAACCGCGCTAGCCAATCATGCTTCGAGAAAGGGGATGGTTACATAGCACAGTAAGGTGAGGAGTGATGAGAGACAAAGATGGGGGATGGAAGGTGGCGTTGGCTTCGTCTTTTTTTTTTTGGTCACACAAAGCTTTTATCATGATAACGATTCACATACGTACGTAGCAATGTCTGCCTTTCATCCCGAGAGCCAACACTAAAAATGTCAACAAAAACCTTTTTCAATCATTTTGATCTCTCATGGACCCGAGGCTGCACGGGATTAACTGCACTGTGGTAATGTTCCAGACCGCCAAGCAAACCTGAGCCCAAACCTTTCCTCCTAACTCTCCTAACTCCCGGGCCCAACTCCCAACGAACGTCTGTGCCCTGCATCATTCATTTCCCTTCCCCCTTGATTTGGTGATCACGGCTGGTGGCTTTCTCACTCAATCCCGAATAGCCCCATGGCCGCCACGAGGCCAAGAAAGGGAGGTTCCAGAAAACGAGGGCGGGAAGAAGGAATACAGGCACAGGAGCCGGGCGTGGGGTGAGAGAGGAAGAGAGCTGAGCGGTGCTTGGTGCTCCGTAATTCATACCAGAATTTGTAACGGTCCAGATGAGATAAGCAAAGATGGGGATGTTTGTCAGAAAAGGAAGGTAGGTGAGCTACTCCGTATGTATGATCATGATAGAACACTGGTGATATTAGTCGCGGTGACAGCACGTAAGTGTGTGTGCATTATCTGAGACAGTCCTACTTGCACCAGGTAGGCAGATCACTAAGAAGCATGCCTATCGACACAGTAATAACTGCCCTACATAAAACTGAAAACTGAAAGGGGAGATATCTACACAAGCGGTATACTCAGGACAATGCCAAGGCATCTCCATGGTACCTATGGTATAAGGACAAGTTTTGTCGTCGATTGCCGAGCGAATGCCGAATACCCTGCCCTCGCAGCATCCCATCCACACATCTGCATCTGATTTATCTGCACCTCAGCCAGCCTTGTGATCTGCGTCATATTCTCATCATGCAGAACACCATTAGTGTAATGTGCACTATCGACCTCTTCTCACCCTCGATCACTCAGCTTGGAGTACGTATGCAAGTCCAGCTGGATTATTCTCCGACTCTACGTCCATAGAAGGGTCAAAACACCCAGCACGTTGTAGCTGAAGAGGGGTAACCACAGTGGTGGTGAGAATCACCATGTTTGATCAGACCACACCATATGCCATCAGGCTCTCATACCCCCTGCCAGGTTAAAACTCAACCCAACGATGCATGGAACTAATGTAAACAACCAAATCATCTATGCCTCACATGCACACTTACTTTGTAGTCTTCTTCTGTTGCAACTCACCATGTTGCCTGGTACGATCTCCTAGGTATGAGCAAAATATCAAAACAAAACAAAAAAAAAAAACATAGTTCTCAGCGATCTTAGAAAACTATTGCCGGGGCAAACATAATTCTATGTGTTATCAGAGCAACAAATTAATCCCATCCCACACATCCCACACATATGATTTGAGGCGAAGAATGACGACGAAAGAAAATTTAGTCTCATTACCTCGATCAAGACCTCGTCAATCAAGAGGGCTAAGGCACCAAGGTAGCTTCAAAAAGAGACATATCCAATCCGGTTCAATCCATCCGCATCCGTAAGAATGCAGAGGCAGAAGAGAGGGGTGTCCATCTGTCCTTCATTCATATTCTTTCCATTCCATCTTTGCTTTCCTCTTGTCTCCGTCTGATTCTAGATAGATAGATAGGCAGGTAGGTAGGTAGGAGTCCTAATCCATATCCCGTACCTCTTCCCTCCCATCCTCCCGTTCAGTCCCAGCTTGAGAAGATCAGTAGTTAGGGACCTACGCAATAGAACCTGTCCATAGGCCCAGGCCAACTCCCCCCCCCCCCCCCAAACCCCCCTCCCTTATATCATTTCGTATGCACACTACGGTACAAAACCGGGCCGGAAATGCAGCGTAACCAGCCCAGTACAGCCCAGTCCTGATATGGGGGGGCAGGCAGGTAGGTATATTGTAAAACCCACCACGACCAGCGCAGCCCCTGAACAACCACCCCGTATCAACGCATCAAGCCAGATACCCAATATCATCATCGTCCAGCCGCTCAAGATACTCCTTATCGAGCAGGATCTCAATGCACTTCTTGATGTCCGCGACCTTGGGCATGAAGCGAGACTTGATCTGGTTGATGGTCTCGCTGACGAGCTGCTGGTGCTTCATGCGCTTGCGCGCTTTCATGATGCGGACGATGGCGGACTATCGTCTGTCAGCTTCCATCCTTTCCTGTCACAACACGGCCGGAAAAGGGGGCAAGGTCTTACCTGGAGCAACAACTTCCGATCCTCCTCAATAGTCTTATTTGTCTCCGCCTCCTCCTGCTTCGTCTCACTCTTCATGCCTACATTCAAGTTCACCCGAAACTTCTTATTCTTGAAGTCATAATTCAGCGCAAACACCGCTCCCGGTCCAACCTTTCCACCACCCCCCTCCAAAAGCAGCACCTTCGCCTTGAGCAAGATCCCCAACGACGGATCCAGCGCTTCTGCATTCAGCGCCGTGCTAGACGCAATCTCCTCATACGTATTCCTATCCTTCTCATTGAACAGCAACAAGATCGCCATCTGGTACGCCGATACTTGGAAGATGTACGGCATCTTCGCATTGCGAATGTAATTCGTCTTGACCTCGCCCTTGCACAGCTGCCACAGCCACGTGAGCTTGCGACCCTCATGCTTATTCTTGTAGAAGCGGGCGAACCGCTCGCAGTCGGCATTGACCTCCTCCGGCGGGTTGAAGCTGGTGTTGGGCGGGGTGAGCGGCCAGAAGCCTGTGCCGAGGATGGAAAAGGTAGAGTCGAGCCCCTTGACGCCGACGGCGGACAGGTGCTCCTTGTAGCCGTTGTTGAGGTCTTTGGAGATCTGCATGTCCTGGAACATGCGCTGCAGCTTGTTGGTGTACTCGAAGCCGCAGGCCTCCTTGAGCTTGCTGATCATGCTCATCTCGGCGTCGTCCGACGACGAATTGCTGTGCACGAGACGGCGCGCCAACATGCGCGAGTAGAACTTCTGGAAGACGTCTTTGTCCTCTATGTACTTGAACACCGTCATGACTTGGGCGAGAGTGCTCTCGAGCTCGGCGTCCTCAACACCCGTGCCGCTCTTGCGGAGCAGCACGTCGGTGTACTTGGCCAGCAGCTCGGGCGACTTGTTCGAGCCGGCCTTGCAGACCTCGTTGCGGTTGACAAACTCCCTGCAGGCGTTGTCCAGCGAGCGGGTGAACTCAGGCTCGTCGTTGAAGGCACGCTTCACAAGACCGGAGTACTGCGTGTGGACCTCGAGCAGGGCGTCGACATAGGTCTTGGGCTCCAGCTTCTCAGCGTCGGAGGCGACCTTAGCGACGGCAGCCAGACCGGCGTTCCGCACATGCGTCTCGAACTTGGCGCGCAACGGATCCAGACCGTCCGAGATGCGCGAGAGGAGGTTGTACATGCGGGCCATGTCCTCTTCCCTGTCGTTGTCGAGGAGGACCTGGAACTCCTCGCGAAGAAGGTTTTGATGGTCGGCAATGAGGACCTCGTTACAAGCCTTCTTGAGCGGAATTGCTATGTCCGGATGCAAGTACAGCTTGACGCGTTCCTCCTCCTCCCGTAGCCGAGCCTCGGCCTTCTTCATGTATTCGACCACGCTGTTCTCAGCCACAAACTGCTTGCTCTCCTTCTGATAGAACTGCCGAGTGGCTTCGAGGAAGGGACGCTCAAAGTGGTAGCGGTACACCTCGAGGGTGGTCTTGGAGGAGTCGCCCTCGTCCAGACCGAGAGAGACGAAGGAGTCCACGACAGCCTTGATCTGGCTGTGCTCGATGGTTTCGCCCAGGCGTTGCCGTTCGACCAGCTTCAGGACGGCGTCCATAACCTTCTCCGACACTTGCGCAAAGAGAACGTCGCGCCAGCGGACCAGGTGCAGGGTGTAGACATCGTAGACGTTCTTCTTGCCCTCGTCCATCTCACGCTTGACCCAGTGGCGGTTGAGATAGCGGAACAAGTGGTGGATGTACTTGGCGGCATCGGTGTAGCGCTGCCATTCCCTGATATAGAACTGCAGCAGAGCCTCGTCGGTGTGAGTCTTGGATTGTTGGACCAGAGCCGTGAGATGCTCGGTCAGGTAGTCGGAGAGCTTCCTGTACAGGTCCTCACCGACCAGGTGGGCTGTAGAATTAGCATACGAACTGCGAAAACCTAGATGATGGGAGACCAACCGCCACGCTGAGCAGCGCCCACAGCGGCTGTGGTGAGCGTGAAGCCTGCCGCTTTTTGGGATGTACAGAAGTTGTGGACGGCCCTGGACCAAGTTAGACAGAGCCCCGGCAGTTATAATCAGAGTGCAAACTAACGTGTAAATACCCATGTACTACAAACACAACGTTAGTTTCCTTGAGCAAACGCAAACAGCACAAAGGCAAGACATACGGTTTGGAGATCGAGACCCTCTTGCAGGTTCATCATAATCCGGGTGATGCCCTGTTGCAAGTAAGCCCATCTGCAAGGCGTCAGCCTGGACTCTCGGCAGGACAAATCAATATGGTGATAGGGCCGACGCACGTTGAGTCGATATCATCCATGGGCCTTGAGGGCAGACCGGACATGGGCGGCGGCATGGTGACGTTGGCGAGCGAGTCGCTTCTTGGAAAAATGGGGAAGACTACGAGGGAGCGGGATTATTGAGGGAGAGAAGTCGGTGAGATAGGTGACTAATCGGGACGCGAATGAAGTTAGCCTTGATTCCAACAACAGTTGCTGCCGACAGGGAGCCGTGATAATGGTGGTGTTGGCGGCTAGGTAGGTAGTCGTTTGGTGGGGGCAGACGCAAGCTCGTCCGGGTCCAAGGCCAGGCCGCAGACAGCAGAGGAAGGCGAAGAAAATGTCGGGTGGGAAGGAAAGAAGGCGGCAGGGTGAGGAGCAAAGGGACTTACTTTTGCAGAAAGCAGATAGGAGACGGCCGGGTTTCCAGAAGGTTGCCCGCCAGCGACCAAGAAAATGGAGGAGTAAGCAGGGGAACGGGACAGAGTTGGATAGAGGGGACAGTGAGATCGGGGCGAAGATGGGATCGCGGGATCGATTGACCGAGCGGCGGGGTGTCCCTAAGGGTTGCTTGGTGTCTCTCTCTCGCCTCACACACACTCACACACACACACACACACACACACACACACAGGCACACGAACCGTGGATGTGGTCAATGAATGCCGCAGGCTGTAGCTACAGGTGTGGTGTTGAGCACAAAAAAAGTGAGGTCTTGCTGGCGGGATTCTGGGGAGTTGTGGAAAATCGCCAGACAAGGGAGATGATGTCAAATATGCAGGCAGGGAAACAAGCGTTGGTAGCGACGTGATGGATGGATGAGGTTCAGGTTGCTACCTGCTGGCCTGGCGTAGCTGGCTTGGCTTGGCTTGGGTATGTCAGCCTTCAGGCAGAGGGTCCACCTACCATCAGGCTGCAGTCAGTCAGCCGCGGTTGGTCCACGCGCTAAGCGACCTAAGCGCCAAGCGCGTCGCGTTATTGCCGTGTATGGGACTATTCTTTTGTGTAACATGCTGGGTAGTCCAGACGAGGACATCAAACACGAAAAGCAAAACAACACAAGAACGAAAAGTTCAATGAAAGTTCTCACTCTGCAAATCATTTACACTAAGTCCCAAACTCAAATTATTTTCCTGCAAGTTACGCTCTATCTGTACAGTACATTCCATACCCTATACATTCTCCCAACAACGCCAGCCATGCAACCAACACCCTACCACAACCACTATTAAACCATGCTTCATGTATATATGTATGACTACTGCTCAAGTCAGGGTATTCGCTTTCAAAAACATGCAATCGAAAAACATATAGCCCAAAATAACAATACCAAAAAAAAAAAAAACACCTGGTACCCCTCGCAATGACAAGATAGTGACACCGCCACGAGCAATCCCTCTCCTACCCCCGATCATCCTCCCCACCTCCCAACTTCTGCACCAGCCTAAACACATTCACGGTAAACGTAAAACTCCACGATATCAATCCGACCAATTGAAAAGCCGCAAGCGCCTGACTATACGCCCTCGTGACGCGATCGGCCGAGTTATGGAACACGAGCGCCTCAAAAGCGAGGGCGGTGCTGGCGCTCTTGAAGATAATGAAAAACAGATCCATCAGCACTAGTGAGATTTTTTGAGTAGCCTTCCGCAAGCCCAGCGGCTTGCCCGTGTACTCGTCCCACGTCATGTATCCGATGTACGGCATGGCCACGGTGTCGACAACAATCGCCACCACCGACTGCGTCAGCTCAGCCGAGTGCGCCGACGTACCCGGCCGCGGCCGGCCATGCTCAAGCTGGTAGATCTTGGCTGACAGCGCGAGCGCCACGATGGAGGTGAGCAGCACGGTCAGCCTGAAGGCTAGCGGTATCAACGGATGTTCCAGCATCATCCTCCACAACCGCTTATATGACCTCCTCGTCCTCGTACCCTGCCCCTTCCCATCCCCGCCATTCCCGTTTCCATTCTCCTTCGTCGGATGTGGCGTCTCAACTGGCTCATTAAACCTGGGCTGCAACTGATTCAGCCACTCGGGCTCCACAATCTCCGACTCCTCGTTCGGCAGCCTCCCGTACCGCGACGACTGGAGGTATCCCCTCCAGGGGGAGTCGTTGCCTGTCATCCGGGTATACCGCGGGACGATCACCGGCTCTGCGGACCGCAGATGGTCCCATTTGCGCCCGCGCTCGGAACCGTCGCGGCGCTTGAAGAAGAGTTTGCGTAAGCGGGCTTTGGCGCGGCGTGTATCGCGAGGCGTGAGGGATGGCTGGTTCTCGTAGACGAAGCCGTCGCGGGAGACGCGGCGCTGGAGGGGGTCGCCGATGCCAGAATGCGGGTTTGGAGTTTGGGTAGGTTGAGGGGCGAGGGTTCGCGGAGGGGGTGCGCTTAGGGAGCGCAGTTGGTCTTCGCTTGGGGCGCCGAAGCGGGATTGGTAGGAGTCGATCCATGCTGTTGCGATGTATTAGCTATTGTCGCTATGTCATCATTGGATTTTTGAAATCCTACGTGGGAGTGTCCGTGGCGCCGGCCGTAGCGACGAGCCGGACGCGGAGCCGGTGGTGCTGCCTCGGGATCGGCTGGATGTAGGATCGGAACGGTGGGAGCTCGAAGTCGGCGGGGGATGCGCCGCCATGGTCTCGGAGGGAAAGGGTAGGTAGGTAGGCGAGGTTGAAACGGTCGAGTCGTTCAAGTCAAGTAAAGTAACTGCTGTCGTTGCTGCTGTTGCTGTTGCTAATGCTACTCTACCCTTCCTTGCGGCGTGGAGGTCGTCAATGGGGCAGTCGGCGACAAATGCGCTCAACAAGTAACAATGGATACAGGTCGCCTACGCCGTCGTCGATTCATGCAACGACCGGCTACGGTAGGAGCCCCGGGAGAGTCGAGTAGATTGAAAGGGTCTGGTGAGGGAAAACCAGCACGCTGTGTCGCTGCATGGTGCAGCGCGTGATGTCGCTGAGGTTAGGTAGGCCGTACGGCTCGGAACCGTCAGGGTAAGTCGGTTGCGGATATCGAGACCAGGTCAGACGGATGACATGCTGTCAGGGATCGGTAGTGGTGCGCGGATTATGGCTGCTGTCTCCTTTTCTGTCCGGTCGAAAGGTCGATCTCCGTCGAGACAGCCGCTGGACGTCGTTGCAGCGCTCCGACAGTTGAAGACTGCAAAAGGACTTGGCAGCGGGAGCGCAGCTCGGCAGCACAGGAGAGCCGTGGCTTTGGTTGGTTCCTGTTGGGGAAGAGACTTGTTGTTTTTCTTGCTGCCCACCCCTGTTCATGATCCAGCTTGCCGGTCGGGCGCACGGGCCACAGCAAAGGTCAGCGCGTCCAAGTTCAAAGTTGGTCAAGAGCGCGAGGCGCTTTGCGCTGTCAGCCTCGGCGGCAACGAGGGCTCTAAAAAGGGCTTCATCCGCGATGACTGGGGGGATGTTTCATGTTGTTCCGGTTGTTTTTGTTTGGAGATAGAAAATATGTTTCCGGCCTGCTAAAAAAGCCAAACGATACCATCTCGGCGATATCGCTTCAGAGCCGGCACTGGGCCCGCTAATCGTAGCGTCAGCGTTAATTGCATGCATCAATCACCTGCACAAGGCTGAGATCTGAGATCCTCTTGCGAGGCACTGCCGCTTCCGACCTGTATCGTCCCGATATGTGGCAATCGGGCATTTGCTTTCTACGGGCAGCCCTCTTATCAAAATCCTAACTCCCTCTCAACCTCTCAACACCAGCCGTTGCCTTCGCTCTAACGATGCCCTGACGCGTTACATCAGCGGCCTCCATCCAGGATCACCACAGCGCTGGAGTTGTCCTCCAGCAGCGGAGAGACCCACTAACACTCCAGCGGCGCTGGCGAAGCTCAACAGGGGCGTGGTGAGGACCGGCGACGAGGGGCTGTCTTGGCTCTCGAAACATGCCTGTTGCCCCACATTTGGGCTGCTGACCAACGAATCAGAGACCGCTCCTTGCCACAACTGCGTCACTGCTGGTCAAGCTCTTCGAGGAGGGAGCAAGCTACAGACTGGGAAGACTGCAAGAATCGCATTGCAAAAGCTCGATTTGCCCACAAAAGTTGCATCCAAGACTGAGCGCTGGACGCGCGGCTTGACTCTGTTGCCACCACGCCAACCCTTACAAGAGTTATTGTTTATGCTGTTGGCCTCCTAGAGTTGTTGCTTTAAATGATGCTTTGTGGTAGATTTGCGATCCAAGTCTAACAGCGAGAGTTCTCTCTTTCCTCTTCACCCCTCGCGACAAAGCACTGAGCTCAAACCGCTTTGACTCTTTTTTTTTTTTCTGTCTTAAAAGATTCTTTAATCCCGAAGCAGTCCCATTGCTTCCAGGTTCATCACAGTTTTTTAACCTCAGCCCAATCTGCAATTGATTTCACCATCAATTAAGCTTTTCCTCGGGCCCCCAGCGCCTGCCCCAAAATGCGACTCTATCTCCTCCCTATCTCAACCCGGCGCACCCTCCTCTACTGCCAGCGCCTCAATACGCCCGCCGCAGCCGAATCCCAAACCACCTGGGCCGACAAGATCCAAGCCAAGGCGGCGCGGACGTGGTCGGGCTGGGAGAAGCGTGACCGCGGTTGGCAAAAGGCGGTCGTCAGCTACGGCAACTACCTGCTGCGGCGCATCCCCTACGAGGAATGGGGTCTCAAGAGCGTGCCGCCACTCTCCCAGCGACGACGCGAGGTTGAGCTCGATGGGAGCGAGAAGGTCGAGGTGATTTATCCGCAGAGTTTGCTGAGCAGGGAGAGGATACCGAGGATTATCGGGCAGCTAGCTACGGAGAGAGAGGCGCTGCATAAGGCGCGGCTGATTTGGTGTCTTGTGGGGGTGCCGATTACAATTCCCATTGGGTTGATTCCTTTGTAAGTCTCCTCCTCCTTTTACTTACTATTATTTTACCTTCTGGCGTCTAACGTTGACCCCAGAGTACCCAACCTCCCCTTCTTCTACCTAGCCTACCGCGCCTGGTCGCACTGGCGCGCCCTCTCCGGAGGAAAGCACCTTCAGTTCCTCGTGAACAATAACCTCTTGCACCTCTCGCCCAGCCCCGTGGTCGACGAGGTGTACGCCAACCGCCCCCAAGAGTCCAACCCAACACCTCTAGCATCCAGCCCTGAGCCAACCACCTCCAGCCCGAGCTCCATGGAGCCCGTCATCGAACCCTCGTCCTATGAGAAGGGACCGCAGATAGGGGCGAGGGAAGTGGGACAGGCGGAGACGATGCTGCTGACGCAGGAGAAGGGCAAGAAGATGACGCAGGCGCTGGATCTGCCGCAGCTGGAAGTCGAGCTGGAGCGGGCGATCTGGCAAGTTGAGACGGCGATTCGGAAGAGGAGCGCCGAGGTTGCGGGGGCCGCGGCCGCGGCGGAGAATGTGAGAAGGGCAGAGGTGTTGGATGAGAAGAAAGGGGAGTGAGGATACCACGGGTAACCAAACTACTAAACGGATCGAGTGATATGATTGACATGGGACGACGATGTATGATAATGGGATTTTTGCACGGCCATGGCTATACAAAACTCGCTCAACACTCTTACGTATTTTACGGAACTGGGACGGATGGATGGTGGGTATGGGTATCTGGTTTATATAGAGGGGGCCACTAGGTATAGCACTGAATGAATTGTTGTTTGCTATCGAGGTCAATGTAGATCCGCACGAACTGAATATAAAAAAAAAAAAAAATCTTGTGTTTGAGGCTATTAAGTTTTCCAAGGGGAGTTTCTGCTGAGTCAGCAAGCTATTCCGGCGACGCCAAGTCACGTGCACTCGAGTGGACACGCAGCGGGGATGACGCGCACATGGTTGCAAGCGCGTCAGACCTTGACTTCTGAAGGCTGCAACGGCCTGTGGCATGTGCTTGCTGTCTGAAGTTTCAGAACGGGAAGGAAATCAGCTGCCTGGAAGCAGCCAATTCTGTACAGTTTGCACTCAATTACCAGGCGTTACATATTTTCTCCGAATTCCACCCAAGCCTCGCATCATCCCATTCTTTGCTCGACCCCGGGATCACTTCGTGCTACCCCGTTGCGGTTCATTACGCTTCGGGGCATAATAGCATCAGCATCAGCTACGCCTCTGAATCAAGGTTAGCCTTGATATCGTCTTTCCGTTTCTCTCCCAAATCTTTCTCCAAAATCACATCATCGCTTAACCCTTCACATCGAACTCAACAGCTGATATCGGCACCTACTAGACCAAAGACCTGACATGGACGTCCCCGACGCGACCGACTGGCTCGGCACGCCGCTGGCCGGCCTCCACGAGCTCGAGCAGACGCTGCGCTGCCGCATCTGCAAGGACTTCTTCAACAGCCCGGTGCTCACTTCGTGCAACCACACCTTCTGCTCTGCCTGCATCCGCCGAACCCTCTCCGTCAACAACTCGCGCTGCCCGACCTGCCAGGCCGAGGACCAGGCCACAAAGCTGCGCGGCAACTGGGCTATGCGCGACGCCGTCGAGGCCTTCCAGAAGCACCGTAACGCCATTCTCAGCTTTACTCGGGCTGCGATGGCTCAGACACAGCCGCCGGTTAAGGCCCCGGCACACCTGAGTGAGACCAGCACCGACAGCGGCAGTCCGTTCGTCGAGGTCCTGTCTCCGAAGCGTAAGTCGCCGATGACGCTGGTCGTCGAGGATCTCGACCCCAAACGCCCCCGCCTGGAGCCCCGCGCCAGCAGGACGAAGGCGCTCGCCGCCCTGTTGAGCAATTCTGACTCGACCGAGTCTAAGGAGCCGGCATTCCACTCAGGTGAGACACATTCTCTCAGGGCTGCCCGCTCCTTCGCTAAGAACGCAGACGACGCCCTGGTCGAGTGTCCCTGCTGCGGACAGCGCATGCGTGAGTCCCGAGTCAACCAGCATCTGGACAAGGACTGCCCCGTGATGAACGGCAGCACGCTGTCCGCCAGCTCCAGCAACACCTCGCTCAACTTCCTTGCCGCCCCGACGTCCACCTCCATCCCAGCCGCCCTGCAACCCCCCAAACAAAAACCCCCCGAGCGCCTCGCCCCGCTAGCCTACTCCATGCTCAAGGACCACCAACTTCGTAAGAAGATGGCCGACCTGGGTCTCCCGACCACCGGCTCCCGGCAGATGCTGGAGCGCCGGCACCAAGAGTGGGTGACGCTGTGGAACGCGAATTGCGATTCCGCGCGGCCGAAGTCAAGAGCGGAGCTGCTGCGCGAGCTGGACGTGTGGGAGCGCACACAGGGCAGTCTGGCGCCGACACACACGCGTGCGGCCCTCAGCGGGGCGCAGATCAAGGACAAGAACTTTGATCGCGTCGGGTGGATGGCCAAGTACAGGGATATGTTTCGGGAGTTGACGGAGCAGGCTAGGGCATCGATGGAAAAGGCGAAGAAGGGGGCGGAGGAAAAGAAGGAGGGATCTGCTCCAGCTCAGAGTACTGTTGAGGAGCGGGGCGAGGGTCTGGCTGAAAAGACAGCCCAGGAGATCCATTCCCCTCAGGCTGAGGCCCCAGACGAGGAGGCATCCAGCGAGAGACTACCCGAGTCTGAGGTAGTGCCGGAAACACCGGCGCCAGAACCGGCACCGTAAAGTACTGACGGACTTTACGCACGCACACACACACACACACACGCACACACACACCACATACATACACATGAAAATATGGGTTCAGGAAAGAAAGGGCTATTATAGACTCGGGACAGTTTAGCGAGCATTGCTTAGATAATTTGGCTTACATGTTTGATACCAGAGGGTTATTGGAGGGATTGAAGGGTGGAAGGGAATGGGAATGGGTTCGTCGTGGATTAGCATCATCATGGCTTTGTCATGAGCGGGCTGCTTGCATTCATGCTATCAAATGGTTATGGACCCGGAATAAAATAGTCAATACCTCAGGGATTATACGATGGGTTGAATACAGCGAATACACGATCAATATGGCCAAGTGGAGATTCGTAACATGAGGACCGTGACGGTGCTGGAAGATTGATAATATATGACCCATAATGTTGACAAGCATATATATTAGGGTACTCAGTCAGATCCCTCATGAAAACATAACATACCTGACATGACATACCCTGTACGGGTATTAGTATCGTACTCACCTTGATCGTCGTTCCCTAAGCATTCACTAGAAACATCAAAAAAAAATTTGACTCCCGAAACTTTAACCCCGCATATTCACTCCTTCAGGGACAGCGTACTCATCAGCTTAGCCACACTCTCCCTCTCTCCAGACACCTTCTCCTTTTCATTTCCCTCTGTCTCCTCAACAGGGGAAGGGACACGCAACCCTTCGGGCACATTCCCAACCTGCTCGAGTCTCTTGGCAACCTCTTCCGCCTGTTGCTCTGCCGCCTTCTCTTCTTCCTCTTTTGCCAACTCCTCCAACTCCTCGTCCAATTCCCCCTCATCCACAACCACCCCGCCAGGTGCGGCTGCTTCGGCAAGTATGGCAGCGATCTCATCCACATCAGACATCTTCTCCTTGAACACGTCGACGACACCCCGGACCTTCTCCACGCCACCAAGCTTGGAGGTGAGGGAGTCGAGCGCCGCAGCGGAGGATTCCATAACGCGCACGAGGGCGACGTTATCGGCTGCGTTTTCGATCTGTGCGATGAGGGATTCCACTTGGTTCAGGGAGGAGTAGCGTTTAGACAGGGTGTCTTCAGCCAGTTTCTTGGATTTCAGCGCGGCGAGCGCAGAGATGCGGTTTTGCTTGGCGAGGGCGAGTTTCGCGTTTGCATGGAGCTCCGCGATGCGGTTTTCGAGGAGGGACGTTTGGTGGGTTAAGGTCGAGTGGAGGGTGCGCAGGTGGGCGATGGAGGCATCTTCTGGTGTTATGACGGTGTCTTCCTCTTCCCTTGAGTGGGTGGGGGGTAAGAGTTTGACCACGTCGGGGGTGAAGATGAGCAAGCCCTCTTCGCGGGAGAGGTAGGTTAGGAGGATGCTCATGTCTTTTTCTGTTAGCAAGCGGTCCTCGCCCAGCAGGGAGGCAAATTCGCGGGTGAAGTGTGAGCGGGGATAGACACGCTCGAACCTGCTCCCGCCGTAGTCTTCGGAGAGATGTTTTTGACGCCAGCGCTCGGCGAAAATCCGCCCTGCTTCGATGACGTTCTCCACGATAACGAACTCCCCTTCTGGTAGGGAAGTGTCATTTTCCCCCGAACGGAGGAGGGGAAACCCCTCCCCGACGACCTGCCTTACGGCCCAGTTCGCTGCCACCCAGACGGCCCAAATCGTTGCCACCAAGACGGCCCAACTCTCTATCCCCCAGATGGGCCAAATCACTAACCCCAAGACGGCCCAAATCGCTACCACCCAGGCGGCCCAGCTCGCTGGCCCCCTGACAGCCCCCATCACAGGGAGGTTTACCCATCCCCATCCCCCTCCCGCTGAACTCCCTTCCCTGGCGGCGGATTTACTCCGGTTCTTGAGAAGGGGCTTTGTAGAAGCAAGGAATGTCTCAAGAGAGACAAACTCCCCGTCGGCAATGGCCTCCCTCATAGCAGTACCGAGGGAGTCGGGGCGGCCAAATTGTTTGGATTCGAGCGCGCGGAGGAGAGGTTCGCCTGAACATAATACAAAACCAGCCCCTGAGCAAGAACCAGAGCTGGACCCTGCGCTGGAGCCATTTTTGGACTTGTTGGGGGATGAGGATGAGGATGATGAGGATGAGGAAGGGGAGGACGGAAGGAGACCGTCACGGGCTAAGCGAGAGAGGCCTGCGCGCCAGGCAGAGATATTAGCGTAGTAGACATCGGGATTGGAAGTTTTAAGAGGGGTGAAATCTAAGTAGAGGGAGGGCAGACGGGGTCTGAACTTACGTCAGCACGTGACTGAGCAAAGGGGAAGAAGAAGAAAGGGAACATACCGCTTGAAGGCAGGCTCGTGCTCGACTAGATAGTCTAGGAGGGATTGCGGTGGCATTCTAAATGAGTGCTTATTTCTATTCGTGACTTTATATGTCGGTTGGGTATGAAGGTTATGTTGACAATGATGAATGCGGGGAGGCTCTTCTCTCGATGAGAAAGAGAAGTGAAAGCGGTCAATCAAGTGAAACACTCGATCAAAGAACAACAAGGAAAAAAAAAAATTCCTCAAAAAACCGAGGCCCAGTGTCAAACAAAAATCTCAGATATTCTGGCAGTCCCAGGCCTGAAGATCAAATTACAGCGCTCCTCCAGGCAGCAGGACCAGGAATCGTGTCGATGTTGATGAGCTTCAGCGGTTGGCAGCGCAAGCTCAACTCCAAAAACAAACTACCACATATGAGAGAGGCCCGCTGGTTGCTAGGTTGCTAGGCGGCCGCTTGTTTGAGCCTATCTTATCTTATCAATTATCACAATTAAAAGACTTGATCGTCTTATCGGGGCTTATCAGTTATCAGTAATAAACCATGAGGGGCATCAAAACATATCAACAACACTTCCTTCAGGAGAGACTACCCTTAGGAATGGAAAAAAAAAACATAATCATGAATTACTTATTAATGCCTGTATCCCAAACGCCATCCATGCATCTATTCCCATCCATTCCAACCATCTCAAGCTTTTAACTAAGCGTAGCTCAGCCAAACCCATCTTGCGCCGACGCCCTCTCCTCCTCCAATCCCTCCCCCAACGGTGCCGTCTCCAACACGCCCGCCCCAACACCACCAATCAAGCTCTGCCTTCTCCCCCTCCGTCTATCATCCAACATCTCACTGACCTCCTCCTCTTCCTCCTCGCCCTCAATCCCCTCCCCCTCTCCTCCATCGCCCAGCACTTCCATCGGCGGTGCCAACCCCTCCTTAACCCTCGCTTCCAGCCCCCCTAACACTTCCCTCGCCCCCCTCCACTGCGCAACGCCACCTTCCCGGGGAACCTTCGCCCAGAGCCCTCTAGCTTGAGACAAACACCTTCCCGCCTGCACACACTTCCCCTGGCCCAACCACGCCTCCGCGGCGAGCACACTCCACAGCGCCGCCTTGCGCCAACGACTCCCCCAGCCCTGGGACCCCGAGCCAGATTTAGTCGCGTAGCAGACCGCGAGGCGCTCCTTGAGCAATGCATCGCCGATGGGGCCTAACAACCGGGACTCGAGCACCCTCACGCCCCAGCGCACAGCCTCGTCTACGCCGGAGCCGCCTCTCAATCGGAGAAGTTCGAGTCCCAGAATGACGGAGCGGATGGCGCCGTAGAGCGAGCCGCAGCGGATGTGGTAGGAGTAGAGGGCTTGGTCTAGCAGGGTATTTATCGTTTCGATGCGGGTTTTGGACGACATGTTCTGCGGCATGATGAGCAGACTGAGGGCGGTCATTTCATTGGCGGCGGCGTGGTACCGCCAGGCTTTGTCGTTGGAGAAGTCGGTTCGGAGAAGGTCGTAAGTGGACATGGCTAGCTTCCAGTCGCGCAGCATGAAGGCGTAGTCGGCCAAGCGGCGCATGATTGCCTCGGGGGCATCGGCGCGGTAGAAACCTGCGGCGGCGTCATAGTTTGTATTCGACGCCCCAGGCGCGCCGAGGACGCTGCTGCGACTGCTGGAGCTGCCGAAGGCGAAGCGCTTGGAGAGGGACATGAAACGCCCTGATAAACCGCGCCGGCGAGAGGCGACCTGGTCGTTCCAGACCGAGACGTTGCGCTCCATGGTGGGGACGATGGATTGCGTGACCATTTCGCGGACAAAGGTCCGGATGGCGGTCGCGTCGGACTCGAAGATGTAGCGGGCGGGGTCTTCGAAGGCGTCATCGTCGTCGGCGGCGAGGAGGGCCTCGCTGGCCTCGATGTCTGCGAGTTCTTCGGCGGGCGTCATCCAGTCGCTGCGGGGCAGCTCAAAGCAATCGTCGTCGGAGATGACGCTGCGCGAGCTGCGCAGGCGGAGTAAGTGGCAGTGTAGCCCGAAACTGCGCTTCATCTGCTCGAAGAGGGCCAACGACTTGGTGATGTCCCCGTTTTCCTCATCGTGCACAAGGACATAGTACCGTAGGAAGTCTGCCCCCACCCACGGCGGTAGTCTTCGTTCCCCCTGGCTCGTATCGCGATACAACTTCTGCAACGCCTCAATCGGGCTCGGATTCCGTGAGCTAATCGCCATGACGCACGCCACCGGATGCGCAAACGTCTCATGACAAGACACCGGCATACCTGACAGCAACCTGCGCAAATACAACGCAAAGTAAGGCGACGTAGCCGTCGTATCTGCCGCCGCCGCCGCCGCCGCCGCCGCTGCTGCTGCTGCTGCTGCTGCTGCTGCCCCCGGACTCGCCGTTCCATCCTCCCCGCTGCCGCTATACGCATGCGCGTGCTCCGCAAACCGTAAATGCATCTCCACAACCCTCTCAACCAACCTCACCAAATCCGTCTTCCCCTTTCGCGAGGCATCCTCCGCTCCCCCATTCACCGACGGCTCCGGTGGCTCCGGTTCTTCAATCCCTTCACCGAACCTCACAAACCGTATCGCAAAATCCTCCCATGTTTTAGCTGCCCCGTTACTATCGCGGACAGTTACCCGTCCCTGGACTTTATCCCCGAATGGGCGTAACAACTCCCACAGCCCCATTTTGAACCCTTTTTCCCGAACCAACTCGTCGACGTCCTCGCTGGCGTGGATCGCTACGTGCGGGACGAACGCTTTCAGTAGCAGACTTAGCGGGTCTGTCGGCGCCCCGGTCGTATTGGCTCCCCCCTCCTCCCCCGAGGCAACAACATCCAACAACGAGGCCTGCCTATTCGCCACGAGACTTCCCCCGCCAAAGATACTCCCCGCCAGCGGCAGTGGCAAACTCACGCTCCTCGCCCCAGAGCTCATGATCGACCTCGGCGAACTCTGTGCCGTCCCAGGCCCGGCACTCGGTGCCGGCGACGAAGGCCTTGTCGTTGGGGGCGTGTTAAACGACAATGTCGAGCGGAAGAGTGTTGCGGCGGCGGGGGAGGGCCCCGCGGGACGGCGAACGGAAGAGGAGCGGAGGGGCAGGGTTACGGAGGAGGATAATGGGTCCGAGGAGGGGGGGAGGGATCGCCGAGAGGGAGCATGTCGGGTTGAAGGAGAGGTGGTTACGGAGAGAGGGTGCACCGGGGAAGGGGGGGAGGGGGAGGGTGGTCCGGTTGGCATTGTTGCATCTGTTGATTGCTGCGTTAGTTGTTCTCGTGGGCTGGGTCGGGTTGGTTGCTTGGCGGTCGGTTGATTGTTGATTCGGGTAGCGGTCAGTCGGCGTTAAGTTGAACGTCGTCGGTCCGAAAAGTTAGCTGTCCCGCATCGCAGCTTTTGTCGTCGCCAAGTCGTGGATGTGCTTTTGGCGTTTGAAGTTGAGTCGTTTGGTTGAAGCTCTGGCCAGCGCCTCCAGGCTTCACTGCTCGCTGCAATGCGATTGGGCTGTCGTGGCCTGGAGGTCCACTCCCCAGAGAGTGGGGTCCTAGATTGACTCTCTAACCAATCACTCTGCTATCACGTGAAGCTGCCCCACGGAGGGGGGGCACGACATCTTGGCAGGCTGATGACGCAGGACTGCGCGGGCTACACGGGCCGCACAGCGAAAGGAAGAAGAAGAATGGCTCCCGTTCACGTTGGGCAAGGCACAGGCCACAGAGCCAGCTCTGGTTCTGGTCTGGGTATCCGGGAACGCAACTCGGGACTCGATGGATCTGGGGTTGCCTATCCCGTGTGCCGGTTCGGATGCAAAAACCATGAACCGTGCCCATGGTTTGCCGTATGTCGGTTGAAAGGCAGGAAACGCAAGCAAGCTGAATGAAACCACACTGATTTCGCATGGTTCCCGCGGCTCTCCCAACGAACCGTGATTGAGGAGTTTCCGGGGCGCGCTGGAGTGCCAAGTGATCCTTCTCCTGTTCTGCAGGCGCAAAAAGCCAGATCCAACATCACTAAGATAGTCCAAGACGCCCAAGACGGCATTGACTGCGACATAAGGCCGGGGGTTGGCAAAAAGCTTGTTCGTGGCTCGTCAGGTGCTAGGCGCGGATCCTGACTGACTAAGCATCAGGTGTGTAAGAACAGCCTCATCACGCAGTGATGGCCCTGATGAGACTTCCCAAGAACCGCAGAAGCTCAGTCCAGAGTCCTGATTAATGATGTGGCACGGACTTTTCTTGCAGTCCTTCATAAACAGGCGCTTCTGGGATTATAGAAGTCGGAGCGGAATGAACTTTGGATTGGGCGTATCGCCTAGCTCGCTGTTTTGGGAAAGACAGCAAGGACAAATGATCGAGGGGCAGGTTGAGTTTTGTTGAATTATGGTTATGTGTTTCCAAGCTAGGGCAAGTTGAGCTTCATCAACGGCATGGAGCTCTGTCCGGAGCCGCAAGCTCCTCAGATGACGTCTTCACTCAGCCCGTAACAGAAGGACAGTTTCCTATGTCTTTCTCAAACTTTTGACAGGGAGTCTCATCAAGCAATTCTGATTCTGTGGACTAGAGTAAGTCCCATGCGAAGTGCTTTTACACACAGCATGGGAAGTTCAAACTCAGCCTTTCGCCTGGGGGGATTACGTACCGCAGTTGTCAGTCAATCGCTCTGCACTTCACCTGTATACAAATTCTACCTAGTAGATATTGATGTGTTGACGCATCTCGCCGCAAATTTTCAACATGCACAAATTCCCAAAGGAACCCGACGCAACCGCCGCGATTGGGTTGAGTTGCAGTCAACATTAGCCACGTCGTCGGCTGAATACCAGCACCCTCTAGGTGCCCAGCAAGCCACGTCACCTCCTTTGTCAAGTCGTCACCATACATTCACATACCCACCAGTTGTTCCGGCCCAGAAGCGCTTCCAGGAACGGGAAAGGGGACCAGTGTAAGTGGTGCGCTGAGGATAGGACAAGACGAAAAAAAGAGGGCGGGTGGTCAACATTCTGGTCCCTGACCGCAAGCCTGGCTGACTGGTGAGAGGCACTCGGCGACACCCACTCAGGAACCAAATTGCCAAAGCCAAGAACACCAGACGTTGACTTCAACCAACCACTATGAAAGGGCGGTACTTCCAGGACTTGTGGCTTTTATTCTGGACATCTGGGCGACAACGACGAGAAAAACAAGGGGATTTCTATTTCAAGCTGGGGTGATGACTGACAAGCGGTGTGAGGACGAGGGCTGAGAGTGTGGCCTTGACATCCCAGAGTGTCGCGATGTCATTCGGCTATGGAAGCATCCAACATTCCAGAGCCTGGTTCTGGTTTCTGCTGGCTGACTGCAGGATCTGAGACTGATCAGGATATGCGAGATAAGTTCGGTGCGGTGTTGTATTATCATCGTCAGCATCGTCAACAAAACACAGAAGACTGGCTGATGGAATGAAACGAAGATCGAATCAATTCATCAACTCATCAGTCCCTCCCCCCCCTCGGACTCGAAGATTCGAATTCAAAGCCTTGCAGAGAGACGCAATGTTGGGTCAATGCCAGAACAACCTAAGAGGGAAAAACAAGCGCATTGCAGTGCCGATTCGGCAGCTTTCTTTCATCCCATCCGTTCCATTCATCCTATACCATACAGGCCGACTCGCTTGCCAGTGGGTACAGCCCCAGACTTTGTGAAAAGGGGTCTCGCACAGGCAACTCAGCCTGGCAGGGCGGGATCTGCACGCCAAGGATGCCAAGGCTACGGCCCCCCAAAAACGGGAGACGAAGGAAGATGCTGAGATGGGTCCCCGTCCCTGGGCCTGCCGAGTCAAAGTACAAGTCCTGCTACTTGCGCTGCGCCTCACGTCAGCGCTCTTTTGCCCTGTGCCTGTCAGCATTTTGTGAAAGGGTGGTGATTTTCTTTTGAGGGCGGGGTGGGGGAGGAGTCAGAGAGAAGTTTCTACTGTGTAAGAGGCTCAACAAAGCATGAAGATTTGTAGCAATTGCACAGAACACAAACCACAGGACCAAGACAACATCGTCCTTGGCAAGACAGAACAACATAACTTAAAGCAAAGACATCCAGAGCAAGACAGTGCGACAGGCTTCCTTTCCTGTCTGTTCACCTGGATCTGGGCAAAGTTTGGTTGCATCACCATCACAACACCAACGCACTGCAACGTTGAACGATGGCCAGCTCCATCATCAATGCCAAGGTGGATAGAGCCAGAGTGATTGGCCCAGGCCAGCGTGACGGATGGAGCAGCCAAGAGGGCCAAGAGCTGCAGAGGTCCTGTAGCCCGAAAATATGTCATTCAGCTGCGCAAGCGCTTGTCCTTGTCTTGCCTTTCCAGCAGAGCCCAATGTTGTCAATTAGGATTAGTATACTTTTTTTCTGAGTCGGGCTTTGGTGCGGATAGTATGGTGGTCCCCAGATGGGGGATCGGGGCTGAGGCTATGTTATTTCTTGGCAGGGTCGTGGGGAGATTTGAGGGAGTTGGGGCAGAATTATTCGAGTAACAGAAGGGTTAGGGTTGACTACGTAAGGTTGCAGGACCTTCTAAAGGTTACCCCTGACCCGATCGGACGATGCGAGTTGCCCGGCCAGTGTTCGATTTGGGTTTACACAGTAACCCTGGTATTTCCGCCAGCCCGGTCTCCTCGCTGACCTTTTTTTTTAAAAAAAAAAAAACAGAGAAAATAAAATTGAACAGAAAGAGTTGACATCAAGAGACAGGATAATCAGGCTGCAGGAAAAAAAAAATCAGGACTTGCGGGTTCCATTCTGCGTAAGCTGCCAATATATTGACGCAGCCGCTCGGAGGGGGATTAAGAAAAATTGCCATGGTGACCAACTGACTGGTCTGCCAGGCAGACGCGTGCTGGGCGTTATTCTCATGCTATTCAAGCCACCTCTCGTGTTAGGACTAGTGTAGCTGGGCTCCAGATGGCTGGGTTTTGAGAGGATCCAGTCAGGTCGTCAGCCCTATTGCATTCTTCAAGCCGTCAGCGTCCGCTACATGTGCTGCTGTTACTATGCTCTTCGAGTCGTGCTGCAGATGCTAGCGCTGCAGCCTTGTCAGCAAATAACAGTAACAGCGCACAACAGCACACACGATGGCGTTCAGCATCATGCAACTGTCGTGACGGTCAAGGTGGGTGTGTTGAGGCCAGGCCAGCCGCACCAGCCGAGCGCCGGGGGTGCTGGGGTGCCGTGATGGGGTGTTGCCACGTGTGGTCGCCAAGGCCGACGAAAGGAGCACCGTGGGAATATACGAGGAACTCGGGAGCTGGCCACCGTGCTTAGTGTACACAGCGCGCTTCTTGTACTGCGGGATTGTGCCCCTGGTATCGCCAAGCCGCCAATGTCGCAACTGTAGCTAGGCTGTCGGCTGGTATGAAAAATAATATAATATAGGGATGCCGGCCATATCCCCCTCCCGTCCTGGGGTCTGGTTCTTCTCACCATCCGCCGTGTCTTTCGTTAGAGTCTACAAATTACGGCGATGAGGCCATACAATATCAATGGGTCGGCGGCGGTCTGGCTGGCCATGCTGGCTGGCCGCGCTGCCGCCGCGTGCTCGTCGAATCTTGTGATTGACAACTTTAGCAACTCGAATACCAACAACCTGGGCTGGTGGAGAGGAGGTGAGTCCGAGTCTCTTTTCCATGTTCTCAGTCATGGACGAAGCTAACATTCACAGACGACGGCTCGATGACGTCGCTCTCCATCTCCAATGGCAAGGTCACCTTCAAGCCCAAGAGCGGCTCGTACTTCTACGAGTCCTTCGACTGCCAGGCCGCGTCGTCCAACGGCTACACCGGCGTGCAGTTCACCATCCAGGGCCCGGCCGGCGGCGGCGTCGCCGTCGAGCTGCAGTACAAGAGCCAGTGCGACGGCAACCGCAACAACTACCAGAGCGCCTGGTACTGGGTGTCGGGTCTGACTGGCCAGACCCAGACGATTACCATCCCGTGGAGCAGCTGGAGCGGCGCCAACGGCAACGCCATCGTCGGCCTGGTCTGGTCCGGCTTCTCGTCGACCAGCTCCTCCTGGAGTCTTGACGACATTGCCCTGGCCTGCAGCAGCGGTGGCGGTGGCTCGACCCCGATCCCGACTACGCTGTCGACCTCGACCAGAACGTCGACGACCTCTAGCACTCGCACCTCGACTTCTACGACTCGGACTAGCACCTCGACCACTCAGATCAGCACTTCGTCCTCCGCTGCGCCCACTGGGACTTGCTCGCACCTTGTGGTCGACGACTGGACATCGCAGTCTCGGCTGACCTTCCTCGGCTACAATGCTCTGGGCGCCAGCTCCAGCGACGACGGCACCATGAACTCGGTGACCGTCTCCAACAACCGGCTGACCCTGGTGCCAAAGAACACGGCGTCGTACTTCTACAGCCAGTTCAACTGCGTCAGCGCGACGAACGTGTACGGCGGTCTCGTCTTCCGCGTGCGCGCTAACGCCGGGTCGTCGTTCTCGATTACCCTGAAGAGCTTCAGCAACACCTGCGGCGGCTCCTTGAGGCAGGTGACTCGCACCACTACTCAACTGGGCTGGACCTTCGACGGCACCGAGAAGGTCTACTCCTTCCCATGGTCGGCCTTCCCCAACATCGACACGGCCCGTCTCAATGAGATCTACATCTCGGGCCTGTCCAGCTCCATCCGCCTCGGCCCGATCGCCTTCTACTGCGGCAACACGCCGACCGAGTATACGGTTCCGTCGCCGTCAACCACCTATACCGACATCACGGTGACGACCACCTCCTACCCGACCCCGACCGCCAGCAGCCTGGTCATCGACGAGTTCACCAACGCCAACACCAACTCCCTGGGCCAATGGCACGGTGCGGACGACGGCATGGCCCTGACCTTCGGCAACCGCCAGCTGCGCATCCAAACCAACTCGTCCGACCTCTCCTTCTACACAACCTTCACCACGACCTGCCTCGACCTGACCTCCTGGCGCGGCGGCTACCTGCACATCGCCTACTCTGGCAACACCAAGTTCTCCGTCGCCCTCCAGCAGCACAATTCTGCCTGCGACAGCTCCATTGCTCCTTTCCCCGAGACATGGGACAGCGTTGAGGCTGAGCGGTATGCGAAGAATGGGCATATTTACATCCCCCTCAACCACTTCGACATCAACTTCCAGCGCGTCATCGCCGTTGCCCTGAAGGGCTTCTACACCGCGGACCCCGTGACCCTTACCAAGATCGAGTTCGTCCGCAACCTCCCCAGCAACTGGGGCTCCGTCGCCCCCAAACTCGCCTCCGGCCGTTACGTGTTTGCCTGCACGCGCCCTAACTCCTTCGCCTTCGCCATCGACGACGGTGATCCGGTCTTCACCAAGCGCGTCATGGATATCATCAACGACGCCGGCATCACCGTCACTTTCTTCACCGTCGGCCTGCCCCTCCTCGACTATAGCAATGGTCTTGCGGCGCAGTACGCGGCCATGGCGGCTAAGGGCCACCAGATCGCCCTGCACAGCTTCACCCACCCCCCGATGGAAGGATTGCCTTCTACCGCGGCCATCGACTGGGAGTACGTCAACATGATTGGTGCCGTCCGCCAGGCCTTCAACAACACCGTCCCCATCACTCCTTACTTCCGTCCTCCCTTCGGCACGGAGGGTGCGCGCATGCGCCAGCGTCTGGCTGCCGTCCTCCAGGAGCCGGAGCCGTACCTCGTCGGATGGAGCGTGGATGTGGAGGATTGGTTGTGGGCGTGGAGCAGTACCCCCGAGAAGCAGCTGGAGGCGTTCCAGCGGGATTTCGCGAAGGGCGGGAATCTGCTGGTGATGCATTACCTGCATGAGAGTACCGTAAACATTTTGCCTCAGATGATTAACATTGTGAAGGCGAGCGGGAAGCAGATTATGCGGGTGGATCAGTGCTTGCAGGATCCGGCGGCGCCTCCGCTTTAAGGAAGGTAGTAGTAGGGTAGATGTTTTGTAGGAAGAAAGGGAGGAGAAGGATGTTAATGGGTTTGAATGTAGATGGGTTGGGCAACGTGAATATTTGGTCAAGTCTGCTTTGTTTATTAGTGGCTTTTGTTTTGAGAGCAAGTAATATTTCCATCGCATTCGTCCAGTCCATCCATCTCTGCTCAAGCAGGAATATAATTCTATGTCAATCGTGATGTCGTTCGTACATAAGTGACCTAGCATACAATATGACAATAACCCAGATAATAACTCCGAACGCCGTAGACATTAGAAGTTCTTTTTCTTTTCTTTAACAGAAAAAAAAACAACTAGACGGAGAAAAAAGAGGGAAATTAAAACTCCTCGACGGCACAGTTGGGATGCAGCACATACACCACCTTCTGCGCCTGCGCCGAGCTGCCTTCGCCTGCATTGTCCTCGTCGTCGGCCGTCATTCCCTGACCACGGATCTCCATGAGAATGTTGTCCTGGCTGCTGTTAGCCTTGTCCTTAACATCAAGTAAAGCAGCAAAAGAAAATACAAAAATATCCAAAAATTGTGTGGGTGTGTCTGTCTGTCTGTCTGTCTGTCTGTCTGTCTGTCTGTGTGTGTGTGTGTGTGTGTGTGTGTGTGTGTGTGTGTGTGTGTGATTGGGAGAGGAAGGGGAGGGGGGGGGGCGCTCACCTTGACCATCTTCTTCAAAACCTTCCTTGCCAGAGCTTTCTCTGCATGGTACTCCTCCTCACTTTGAATCTCACTCTCCTTCTGCTCAAGGTACCACTCGACTAGCGCATCCGCCTCGACACCCTCTCCTGCCCCTGAGGCCTCGTCCTCTGCCACCCGCTGCACCAGCACGTTCACCATGCTGATGTACTTGTCGTACGAAATCGTCTGCTTCTTGCTCTGCCGCTGTTGACCCTCGGTCTGAGCAGGCGGCTCATCCGCCATCGCCTGGTCGCCATCCCCGTCCGTAATAGGCGCCTCGCCGGCCGCGGCGGCAGCTGCCTGCCGGAGGGCGTCTTGAGAGTCTTCAGGCTCCTCGTCTTCAACTTCCACATCGTCGTGCTCGACAGAGATAATACTCTGCCTCAACAAATGATACGCCTCGTTGACAAATTCTGGCGTGATATCCTCGACACAGTTGGCCTTGGCTATCGCCTCGCTCAGGCGGATCATACTCTCCAGCTGGCGCACAGTAATCCGGTAGCTATTCCGCCCCGCACCCCCTTGGGCATCGTCCGCGCGCAAGTCCTTGTACCGCTGCACGAGGACTTCTTTAGCCTCGTCGGTGAATTCGGGGCGGAAGGTTCGCGCAAAGCGGATGTACCGCTGCAGTTGTTCCGTCGAGAACTCAGGTTGCACGGCGTTATCCCTGTGCTGGTGGATTGCGACGATGTGCTCTGCCAGATGACGATCCACCTGCTCATTACACTCATCCAGAATCACAAAGAACAGGTCGAAGCGTGACATAATCGGCGCCGACATATTGATATTCGCCCTCAACGTCGTCTTCCGATTATACCGTCCCCCAACCGGATTCGCGGCCGCCAAAATCGACGTCCGCGCATTCAGCGTTGCCTGAATTCCCGCCTTCGCAATCGATATCGTCTGCTGCTCCATCGCCTCGTGGATGGCCACCTGATCCGCGACATCCATCTTGTCAAACTCGTCGATGCAGCAGATCCCGTTGTCGGCGAGCATCAGCGCGCCCGCTTCGATCGTGAACTCGCCCGTCTCCTCGTCTTTTACCACGGCGGCTGTGAGACCGGCTGCTGAGGAGGCCTTGCCCGAGGTGTAGACAGCGCGTGGGGCAAAAGAACAGACGTATTTGAGGAACTGCGACTTGGACGTGGAAGGGTCGCCCACAATGCAGATGTTGATGTCGCCACGGAGTTGCATGCCCTCCGGAGTGGTCTTGGTGACGCCGCCCAGGAGCTGGAGGAGGATGCCCTTTTTGACGATTTCGTGGCCGTAGATCATGGGTGCGATGGATTGCACTAGGCGCGAGTAGATCCGGTCGGAGTGGACCATCGCACGGAGGTCGTCGATTTCTTCTTTGGTATATGATGCGAGGACGGCTTCTTGGAGTTCCTTGACCGTTTCGGCGGTCTCGACGGCGGCGCCGGCGGTCAGGGAGCCGACGACGTCGACGATCTGCGCTTCGCCCGACGCACCCAGGGTAGACACATCCGGCGTGACCATGCACGCTAGGAAGGCCAATCTATATGTCAAGTCCCGAACACCGAGCGCTTTCAAACCAGTGACACCAGCGCCCCCGGCCTCCGCCGCCCCTGTCGCCCCCCGATCATCCCTGACCGCAACCCTCCTCAGGCCCGGCAGCCCAAGCTGACTCACATCCGGCACGACGATCAACGCCCCCGTAAAGATGCACTTCTCGCCCGCCTTCGCTCTATCCACCATCTCACCTCTAAGAATCACATCTATCGTCCTCGGCATGCTCCCTGTCGGGATCTCGCTCGCATTTTCCTGCACGCGGACCTTCTGCCAATCCACAAACGTGCTCCGTCGAATATCCAATCTCCAGGCCGTCCGATTGAGACAGGTCGCGTTCGGGCACTGCGTGGGCTCGGTATACCGGAACGTTTGCTCCACGTCGGGCACGACTGCGTAGCAGGCTTCGCAGATAAACGTTGCGGAGGCGAGTTCGGGACGGACTTCGCTTGTGCGGGTGACGGTGCCGGATATGGAGAGGAGCTGGCCGATGTTGCGGGCGCGGAGGGAACGGATGCGAGAGACTAGAGGTAAGTTGTAGAAGGCGAGGGAGAAGAGCTTGTCGGTTTGTTGGTGGGCTGTTTTGGCGTTGATCTCGACCTGGCTTGCGCTACCCGCATTGCTGGCCGCGGAGGAGCCTCCGATTTGGCTGGAGACGGTCGTACCAGGCTGCCTATGCTCCCTGAAATATTTCGGCTCGTACTTCGCAATCATGTTATGCAGAGCTTGAGTCAGAAACGGCAGAAACCGGTAGTAACTTTCCATAATTCCCTGCGCCAAATGCCCATTATTCCAGCTCTCCAGATGCTTCCAGTCAACATAAAATGTCGACAGCTGATAAACCCTCATCCCCTTGATCTGCGCAACATAGTATTTATCCGTCGTCACCGCGGGCTGGGCGCTCGACGTGGGACCCTGCCCCTGCTGCTGTTGACTCGCCGACGCCGCAGTGGTAGGCTCGGTAAAGTTCTCGATAAAATTCTCGAAATTCTCCTGCACTAACAGCCCGATCTTGTCCTCGACCTTGGGGATGTTGGCGGGGTCGACGGGGCGCGTGCGCGACGGCACCTGGTCGTCAACAAAGGCTTCGGCGTCGGCCTCGCCGTCGCTGATGCCTGCTACAGACTCAGATTGCAGGGCAGGGCCGGCGGCGGCACGGACGCTGGATGAGCTCGGGGGGATGCGAGCGCGGGGAGTGCGCGCGGGGCCGTCTGAGGTTAGGAAACCTGCTTCGCTGGAGGGCATCTTGACCGAAGTCGATAAGATCTGAAAACAAAAAAAAAAAGAGAAAATAATCAAGAGAAAAACACCCACACGCAATTGTGAGGTTGATGTTGAGTCGGTTGTCGAGTTGATGATCGTTTGAAAAAAAAAAAAAAATCCGTGGAGGATAGGACAGAGGGGCAGTCAGGGTCTGCAGAGGTTGGGCACCCTACATCAATAAAACGCGAGAAAACGCGGTTTCTGGGCGAGACGCGCTCCAAGGGTCCACTGACGCGAAAACTGTGGGGCTAGTTTTAATGACCTCGTTTTGGGATATCAGGTAAATACATGATGATGGTACCGCAAAAAATGCTTCATTAAGCAGATATTGTACAGCTTGGGTATACCAACCCCCCCTCTTCCCTCCTTGCCCATCTAATCAAAGACAACAAACTGAAAGATGAAATGAATATCAACCCGAATATACACGTAACATATAGTCTATGTGTGCGCTACCAACCCCACGTCCGACTAGCCGCAGTAAACACAGGCGGCTTCCATTGGATCTTGCTCGGATCAATAACATGCCTCTGCTTCGCCCTGCTCTTCTCCCTCTGCTCAATCAGCTTCTCCGGAATGACAATCTTATGTTCCCCCTTATGATACACCTGCATCTTGAGCGCCTGCAGCGTGTGCTCCACGTCCTGTGTCGTCATGGCCAGCGTCGTGGCGATCCCCTCGATCGTGCACTTCTCGTCGCGCTCCGCGTACCCGAGCAATAGATCAATAATCTGCTCCGACCAGTACTGTCTGTAGGAGAGTAGACCCAGATCGGATAGAGGCTTCTCCGGTGAGCCCATCTTGCCCTCGATCTTAGACAGTTCGTAGGAGAACTGGATCAGCAATCGACCATACCCCTTGCGCTGGTACTGCGGCAGCGTCAGAATACACGCCACATTGTACCCGTCCGCGCTCTCCTTCTCCTTGGAAAAGTAGCCCACAATATGACACCCTTTTTCGTCTCTGCGCGTCATGACGTAGAACAAAAACGGATCCACATCATAATAAAGCGTCTTGTGATCCAGAAACATTTTCGACAGCAAGCACAAATTCCGACACCACGTCCTTTGCCTCTTGCCGTCGATCTCAAAGAACGAGACATAATCATCCCGGTAGATCTCGTTCCCCGGCGGATGCTGCAGCGTGCACTTCATCCTATGCCTGCGGAAACTCTTAAAATCCCCGTAATAGCTCAGGCAGAACTCGCAGATATATATACAGTCCTCCTGACTGAACACCTCTGGGTAGGGAGAGAAGTACCACGGGAACAGCGTATACTGCCCGAATTCGACCTTGGAAATGTTGCGAATGCGTGCGATCTCCGCCGGGTTCTGCGTCATCGACCCGCTGGTGCGCAGTTTCTCGATTTCTTGTTCGCGGTTAAACGCTGGCGGCGCCTTCTCTTTCTTTGCAGCTCCCGCCGGCGTCTCGTCCTCGTCCACATCCATCTCATCTGGCCCGGCTTGACCCCCCTTCGCCCCGACCTCCAGGCTAGCAACCCCCTTCTCATCGCCATCGACCTTCCCCTTCTTCTGCCCTTCCACAAACTCCGTCCACGGATGCGGAGTCCCGGCCTGCCCCTCACTCACAACACTCTGCTCCCTCTTCCCAACCTTCTTTTGGCTCTTCTTGCTCGGCTGGCTCTTCTTCGACACCGACGACCCCGCCTTTTTCTTCGGATCCTTCAACTTATCCTTGTCCGGATTGGGCCACTCCACGTCCTGCTCGAAGTCGATTCGCGACACAGGCACCCACTCATCCAACCGCTTGTTGAAGTTGTCAAAGTTGCAGTAGAATTGTCGGCCGGACTTGGTCTCACGGATAGAGAGGATCTCGGCGCGGCGGTAGGCGCCGTCTTTTTGCACCATTGCGATGCAACCTATCCTAGTAATATACAGTTAATAGTGGAAGAATGAATCGGGTGGCAGACTGGAGGGGGCTTACATCAGGGTGTCGGGCGTCGCTTTGCCCTTTTGTCGTTGCTCGTTCGAGCCAACTTCGGGTTGTTTGCTTCCCCCGGACATTTTGGCCCGCGCGACTATTCTTGTGTATGTGGAGTGATGATTTGGAGATGGAATCGATGCGCACGATGATAGCCGTGTCGTGAGTTAGAGTTGGATGCCGAAGCGGTTGAAGCGCAGATGCAGGTTGCAAGCTGCAAGTTGGGTCGTCGCAATGGATTGGCGGGGCAAATAGTCCATTAGAGTGATGCCAAGGCTTCGTAAGTAAGATACTTGGTAAGTGCATGTAAGAGACGGCTGCTTTCGTGACGTTTCTTCTGCTGAAAATGCCGTTGGAATGTGTTTCTTTCAATATGTATTTTTCACGTTCACGGTTTTTGAGATATTAGAGTTGGTTGGACACGTTTGTTTGGCTGTTGCATGTCTGCTGAGTAGGCAACCGTTAGGTATACTGCTGTTGGTTGAGCCAAGAAAGTCTTTGTTCTGCTGTATATATCTAGGCCGTCTTTTCCATCTGACCATGGATTTCTTATCAATAACATCACAAGAGAGATCTGGACTTTTCAGTTAAATTGCCACTCGCATTTGTCTGTGTGACTGCTCTGTGTCCCTGTTCTCAATTTCTCTATATGCATGCGCGCACCCTGACGGCTGCACTAGCCCCATCCCGCCGGCTTATCGCTATACGCAAGGTCTTTGACAAGGGTCTTCGCTGCCGAACCGAACGTTCTATCATATTTAATGAGATTTTCTCCATCCGCAGTTCATCTCAACCTCACTCATACCTTCACCTAGTAAACTTCAACTCTCCGACATTACTCGTCCACAGAAAATGCAAGCCTCGCGCACCAAATAAAAAAACATCATCATGGCAGTCGACATCTCGCAACTCTCGGCGAACTGGAAAAAGCTGCAGGAGAAAATCAAGACTGTCGAGTCTACTAAGGCAAAGACTCCTGCAGAGAAGAGCAACAAAAGGAAGGCTGGGGAGAGTGGGATCGAGGAGAAGCCTTTTAAGAAGAGGAAAGAGGATAAGGGGTCGCCCAAGAAGGTAAAGGACAGCAAGGAGTCTCCTAAGAAAGGGGAAAAGGAGAAGCTATCAAAGGTTAAAGCCAAAGACGACGCCAAAAAGTCCGAGACTAAGGATTCCAAACCACCAAAAGACTCGAAAACGTCATCACAATCGTCGTCCAAGGACAAGAAACCCTCCTCCTCCACAATGGGCAACACCCTCTCCTCCAAGATCGACCCCTCTCCCCTAACCTCCACCCGCACAGGCACCATCTCCCCCTCCTTAGCCCTCTGGGCCGCCGAAAACGACATCACCCCCGAATCCCTGGCCGAGGCCTACGGTCTCGGCCTGCACAACAACTCTCTTCTCACGTCCAACCCCACAACGCCCAACGCCGGTTTGACTCCAAACCTCGAAGTCGGCAAGTACATCGCCCTCGATTGCGAGATGGTCGGCGTTGGAGATGGGGGACATGAAGATGCGTTAGCGAGGGTTAGTGTCGTGGATTTTCACGGCAGGCAGGTCTATGATTCGTACGTGAGGCCTAGACAGAGGGTCGTCGACTGGCGTACGGCTGTGTCTGGTGTAGCCCCAAAACATATGGCTACCGCCCGATCGTTTGACGAAGTGCAGGCGCAGATTGCATCCCTCCTCAAAGGGAGGGTGCTGATAGGCCATGACGTGAAGCACGACCTGCGGGTGTTGGAACTATCCCATCCGGTGAAGGATATAAGAGATACGGCGAAATACGGTGGGTTCAGGAAGTACGGGCATGGGCCGAAGCCGGCACTGAAGGTGCTGGCGAAGGAGGTGCTGGGCGTGGAAGTGCAGAAGGGGGAGCATAGTAGTATGGAGGATGCGAGGGTGGCGATGTTGTTGTTTCGGAAGTGTAAGAGTGGGTTTGATTTGGAGCATGCGGCGAGGTTTCCGGAGGATAGTAATAGGAAGGATGGGGGGAAGAAAGGTGGGAAGGGGAAGGGGAAGAAGGCGAAGAAACGTTAGACATAGATAAGACGAAATAGTTGGTTTTTGTTTGTTAGGTTTGTTAGGCGCATTGTTGTTGTTCCTGGTGTGATGCGAGATGTCATGTCGTAAGGCTCCCATAGAAGGAAAAACGAGTCTCGACTTGGAGGTACTCCGAATCGGCGAGTGCGTAGGCGGAAAGTGCGGACATGATACTATGACCTCAATCATGCCCTATTTCCTTTCCTAAATAAATACAGGATAACACTCCCCCACATCACTGGCAGACGATACTGCTAAAGGTAGGAAGAGAACTTGAATTGTTTGGGTTGTAATCGATAGCCCATCGGTGGGAAGAAATTACGAAAAAGGAGGATAGAAGCAAGATATAACGAAAATAAATAGAGTCAAAACCCAACATCATCTGGATCCCGATCCCTCCCTTCTTCTCCATCCCCATGGTCGTTTCCTCCGTTCAGGTACTTCGGTGCCCTCTTCTGAATAGTTCTTTAAAAGAAGGCGTTGCTGAAGGTCGAAGAGATGGAAAATGCAGTGGCCATTTGGAGGAACTATCCAACGTTCTATTCGCTCTTATCTGGAATCACATGACTCGGAGGTAGAGACTATCAAGTCTACTATCTTCTCGAGTACTTTTCTGGCTTCGGCTATCCTGGCCATGTTGTTGACATAGGCTGACAAATGCCACGACAATGACGGAATCGTCTTCTCCGGTCACCTTCATGTGGACTTTGACACTTGTCAGCAGTTTCACAATTGCCTGGCCATGAAGTCCTTGCCCACCATGTTTTATCCTGGATCATCTGTGCTCCACAGCCGTTGACAATAGTTTAAGTCCAGCATGCTTCGTCTGTTTGAGAGAGTGAAAATGAGCTCGATGAAGATGCTCTCCCAGATATCGACCAGATGGTTTCAGTATACTGTGGGATTGTCACCATCGATAATAAAAGCTCTATCATTCTACTTGTTCATTACACAGCAAAAGAGTACTCCCAGGAAACTCTTGCCCAGTGGTTCCCAGATGCACATACCAATGTCTCTAATATTTGCGCATCATTCATTGTATTTCAGACTTTCTCGAGTGGTCGTTGTTAAAGGGTTAGGAAGCTATCACACTATCGCACCGATATTACATATACCCCCTCTTGGACTATGCTGCTGAGTAATATCAAACAAACGATGGTAGATCTGATGTTCACACAAACTCCTGGGAATTTCCTCACTGGAGAGTCCGTGCTCATAGTTCCCTGATACTGCAATCCTACTGTAACGGGTGACTTGGTCTGGTGCAGCCAGGGATCGGCAATAGGTCAAATGGGTTGGATGATGGCCGTTGACGATGTGGGGTGCACAACGAAGTCAATTAATACGTGTAATAATTTTTCTTGGTCCTCAGTGTCCTCCTGTCAGGGAGAGGAAGAACAAAGAGAAGTCCTTTATCATGTCCGGGCAGCTTCCTTTATGGAATCCTCCTGCCCTTGTGAGTGCCTCTCGGCCTTCCAGGCGTTTTAGAGGTCTCGTCCTCCTGCCTCGGCCCTCTGGCTCATTCAGTCGTGTGGCTCCAGCTATCTTCCGGGATCAACCACGTATTTGTGTCGTTTCCAATCATCCTGTCTCTGGTGTCCCTTGTGTTGGCAGTCGGGTATACCCCTTTCCTTGGACTGCCGTGTCCGTGTGACATCAACCCAGATCATGACTATCTAATTCGAATCATCAATCCCGTTCTGGAAGGATTACCACGATTCCAGCTCACTTCATCCTCTCCTCGATGATGACATTGTCTTTTTCAAAGGTCTTAGACCTATCGACGTCATCAAAGTTATTATGGTTCTGGAGGAGTATATCGTGCAGTGGGTAACCAGCTCTTCCTTGATATGACAGGCGGTTCCCTTTAAGTTTCCTCACTGAACGCTCTGGTTTGATAATCAATGATTGATAAGAGTTGGCAGTGGTCTTGAACCGCTTTATGATCTCACCTTCTGTCCCAACCTTTTTCTTAACGTCCAAGGCACAACTTTCCAAAAGCTTCGCAACCTTTCGTAACGCCCTTGTAACCAACAGATGCTAACAAGATCATCAGCCACGGAGGAGTAATCCGTTGCATCTGAAAACTTGCTCTGACATGTTTTATGATGCTCCAAGATGCGTAGATTGCTACCCCTGAAAGGATCTCAACCACGTCTTAAGGATACATTGCCGCGGTAAATATCCCATCTTCGAGGTAGTTCATAACATGCTCAGTATTTCTGGTGACAAGATAATTTGAAGCTGTCAGGAAGAGACGTCAAATGCATTCTCTGGAGAGCATAGCAATCATGAACTGGAGGAAGCGATCGATTGCCTTTTTCAGATACAGTTTGCCCAGGGAATCAAGCATCCATCTTGCTGTCTCCTGCACAATATTCTGCAACTCGAGGTTACCATATTCGTTCTGAGTGACAAAATAATAATTCGTTAACTCGTTACCAGTCATCTTCAAAGCGTTTGACCCAGCCTCTGCGCTGGGTTTGCAACGAGCAACTGGGGAAAACTTGGTGTGTCCTTTGAGATAGATGCTTTTCTAAGCTCGCAGAGGCAGCGCGACGGGAGAGATGCAGAAGTTTTCTCTGCAGTTCTGAGAATCAAGCATTCATTGAGCTCATATTGACGGACCACAAAGTCCATAATGAAAAAGGTAAGTTGGTCGCGGAAGAGCGATTTGTCTCAATCAAGTCTAATGTATCTCCCAGTGCCCTAAGAATAACGTTCGACTCTGTTTGCGAGCCGTCCCTAGGGAGATCTGCAGAGTCTTCTGCCAGTATGAAGCGTCCTGGCTTTTGGACCTCTTCAAAAACTTGGGCAACTGACATGCGCAGACCAGCGTGCCCCGACACTTGATGTATGTCGTTGCCATAAGAATAGCAAGGGGGTAAAGATCAAACGTAAGAAGAAGCTTACGTAGATTCTCTTGGTAATCATCATTTAGTCCATCAAAGCTGTGATTTAAACAACTTGACTGCTTCATTCTCTGTCATTGGACCAATTAAGAACGGGTTTTGATCCGGCTGCTTTGGGGAAAAAATAACCTCTGCAGCTTTGTAACTGCGTGTTGTAACAACAATGAACCAATTGTTGGCTTGTGGGAAATACCTAGTGAGCTGCTTCTTAATCAAATTTACATGATCAGTACCGTTAAAAATCATGACTCGTTTGCCATTTTCTTTGATCCGTAGCCAATCGTGGGCAAGTTCGCAAATATGCACTCCCGTTGTTTTCTGAATACTCAGCTTCAGGATGCTGGCAATCCGTTGAAATCCGCTTCCTATACTCTTTCGAGAGCCAGCTTGGATCCCAAAAACCAAAGTGTCAGAAAACTTATCGCCGAGGTCGGTATCTTACTTCTGCGGCAAGTGCAGGTTTCCTTCGATATCGTACAAAGGTTAGTTTCCGTCTCTGTATAGTAGGATGTACAAAAACAAGTTTTCATGAAGACATACCCTACACCCCCAATTCCCACAAGGGCAACGCAGGAGTGCCCTTTGCCATTTCTGCACTTTTCTTGAAGTTTCTGGAACAGATCTCTGCGCTTCACAAAAGAATCATTCCGAGCGTAGTTAATGCCCGTTGTTAGTTTGGACTGTTTTGTCTTATGGAACAAATGTCAGCCCAAGATCGGCCACAAGACAATTACTCGCAAACAAGCTAGATCAGGGTTTGGACAAACCTGCTTGGTAATAGTTGTTGAACGTTTGCCATTGAACATAGCCAATAATGTTCCCAGAACCAGTATTCTGAATGCTACCAGGCTGGAAAATGCTCTGGATGTTGGGGATAATACCAGGGAAACCAGTGGTGTTGGCAGCAGAGGAACCGGTGTTATCTGCAGCAGTAGAACCAGTGTTATTGGCAGCAAGGGGATTAGTGTTGTTGACGGCAGAGGAACCAATGTTGTTCATGGCGGCGGGGGGGTTAAGATTGATAACACCAAAATTCTGCCCAATCTGGAAACCAGTACCGTTTAGGTCTCTAAAGTCGGCCTTATAGGATAGGGACTCTTGAGTGATTTTGTCCTTAGATTCCGGCATCTAGTCAAAGGTCGATGATTTATGGAGTTGTAACCGTTTCCCTTAGGTCGAAAAAGAAGACACACATCTAAAAGTGGACTCTAGCTTAGTTGGATATGCTGCCAATAATGAAGAAAGGAGGCAAGAGGGAAGAGGCATAGGGAAGGAGAATCATGTCGAAAGCTCGCCCGTATATAGCTTCTGGCAAGCTTTAGCTCAAGCCTCGTCGGCGGGTCTTTGTCCAATTCTAGCCTGATTGTTACCTGACAAGACGAGTACGGACACATTCTTTGATTGGCAGACAATTGGAGAAGGAATGGTTACACAGCTTCTGTTGGGGGGGGGGGATAAACACTTATCGTCCAAACGTGTGTCAGGAGGCTTTCCCTCGCGCACAAGGGTTCAGTTGTAAATAGTTATCATTACATGGACCGTTTCTGGTATCTTTGTAGAGGGGTTAAGGGTCTGGCTGGCAAGAGATACCGATGCTGGTCCATAGCTGGCTGGATTTGGAAGATGAATAACGTTCGACGCTAAGACCGTGAGCTGGTATCAGTCAGGGGGACATTGAGTGTCTAGGTAGGCTCTCGGCCTTACGCGATTGTTGATGCTTGTAAACTTGTTGATCGCAAAGAGAGCCTCGAAATCCCAAGCCATGCCCCGTGCTTGGAGAAGGTGACTTGTCCGAGCAGTTCCTCCTCTGTTGCTAGGCTTGCCACGTACTAGAGCCTAAGAGAAGTGCATCTCAAGGGGGGGGGGGGGTCACTGCGCTGTGGAGGCTATTCTCTTCATGCAATCTCTCCTGGCCTAAGCCTGTCATCCCGCCTTAGCCACCGCCGCAAGGCGTCTTCCCATTCTCCCTTCCAATAAGGAGCTTTCAGAATGCAGTGAGCCTAATGGCACAGCCTAGTTTAACGCCAAGACTGGTTCCCTGCATGAAGGGGCGGGGTAGTTTGGGGAAAGCCTACATCGTTAGAGTCTGCCTGGTGTTTTCGTAGCCCACTTCCACGGGTCTCCTTTAAACGGAGTCACATCATGATGGACGCTTCCCTTCTGGTCAGGCTCCAGTAGGTGGAGTGTCGAAGCCTTCCTCCATCGAAGACAAACCGGGGCAATCATGGATTTTCGTAACTGGACAACCCACGTTGAGCGAGCCGTCACTGTACATTGAGCTATTTGTCTCTTGATCAATATTAACATACCGTTATCGTCGCAGAGACCAAATAGCTGCATTGAAGTGTAGTGTTGGGATCAACGAAGTCTTCCTGCTCTCTCAACAGCACCGCAGAACTAGCTGCTAAAATGTCGGACAGGGCTGGTAGATGGTGGATGGTGGCATGGTGATAACGTGACCTTCGATGCTGATGCGTGTGCATGAGGTCCCTCATCGCCTCTCGACTCCTCGATTGTCTGGGTCAAAACTAACTGGTCTACTGCGCTTCTTCGGTGCCAGAGTAGAACAGTTTCACATTTTTGAGACACTCCTTGATGCAGCGATGAGTGGAAGACTTTAGGATGTAGACCATCACGTTAGCTGAGTAAAAGCACTAACTTATAGTTTCCCTGTTCTGACTATTGCCGCAATGACAGTCGGCCTGGTGTAATGAACGGACACGGACATGCCTTGGCTCTGATTCGGGGGCCGTGGAACTATCTTTTTACACAGGTAGACTTCCAGGTTAAGTCGGTTTGACTTATAGAAAGCCCTTGTTACAGAGGCCGCTTATGTAAGCATTCATATTAGCGGCAGTCTTTGACTACTACCTCAGCTGGAAGCCCCACTTACCAGGCCTTTCCCCTTTTGGGTCGAATCAAAACAAACGATCGGCCGGCACCCACGTCGACCTTGACATCCACCCACGTGTGACTGTGTGCCTGCAAACTGTTTGCCTCGACTCTCCCTCGAGTTGTCGCCGTCAATTGCAGTTTTTCAACCGACAGGATCTCATGACGCGCATTTCCGGATAGCAGACGGCCATATACCTACCAACCTTTTTGTCGCGCCGTCGCGTCATTGTTTGTTTACTTTGCGAATCGAGCCATCGTGCCATTAGCAGCCGCATCCCCAACACCATTTCTCGCCCATTGAACCCAATTGGCATGGCGATGCGAGGCGGTCCGCGTCTCCAGGTCGGCTCGGCCGCCTGGGTCGCAGAGGAGCGCGAGGCGGCGCTGAGCATCGCGTGCTCTGAGGTCGACGAGTTCTCGTACGCCGCACGAAACGAGCTGGACTGGCTCAACGAGCACATGGCCGACATTTTTTCCGAGAATCAGATGTGCGTGACCCCGCGTCAATCTAGTCAGAGTGATGTGCTGATGTGAACAGGAATGTCGCCGAGATCTTTAAATCGCCTAGCAAGTTCCGCGGCAAAACGCCGCGCACTGTGAGGAGAGAGCCTAGCAGCGCGCGTGTGGTAAGTCTTTGCAAAGTTGAGAGAGAGTTTTAAAGACGCGTCTAACTCGGTAGCCCCTCGCGAGCGTGTTCTCTTCGACCCCCAAGGGCGCGCCTAACCCGCTCGCCATGTCGACTATCTCCCTCCCGCGCAGCCCGGCCATTCAAGTCGCTGAAGACGCGCCCTCATCCGATTCGCCCATCCCGTCGTCGCCAACCGGTCGGTCGATGTCCCCTACCAAAGCGACCGTCGTTCATCCCATGCACGAAGTCAAGCCGCGCGGGCACGGCTCGCTGGCTGACTCGGGGTATCATGGAAGCCAATCCCAGCTGACGCAGTTCGAGAGGGAAGAGCCGCTTGAGGAGGAGGACATCGAGATGTCGGATAGTGGCGAGCAGGGCGAGACGCTGTCAGATCCGGTCTTTTCGCCGGAGAATAAGCCGACCAGCCCGTCGGCTACATCCGTGCATGAGACGTACCAGAGCCCGGTTGAGACACGCTCGCCACAGCGCCAGCAGAGGGAAGAGAGTGCCGTACCGACGCCGTCGTCTGCCTTGCAGCAGCCAAACAGCCCGTTTGCGAGCAGGACAAGGCTGCCGATTATGTCACCACGTGCACAGCCGTCACCTAAGAAGACTTCCTCTCCGATCGGGCAGTCCCCCGGAAGACGGTCACCCTCGCCGCAGAAATCGCGCTTGGCTAGCCCGCCGAAGGCCTCGGCCAAACTTGAACCCGCTCCACAGACCGAAGAGAAGCCCGAGGATGGCGCCGACCAGAATATTTCGGCCGACGAAGAAGAAGAAGACGACATTTCCGAAGCATCTAGCCCCGTCCTCCGCCCCGTCATGCGCAAATCCTCGCTCAACTTTGCCTCCCTCCCCGCGCGCGAGCCACTTACTTCTAAGAAGAGCCTCGGCGGCGCGGCGGCGCGCATGTCGCGCACGAGTTTTACACGACAGAGCTACTACCCCCCTGCTGCGGCGTCCAGACTCACTGGTGGGGGGAAGAGTCTCGGTGTTGGGAGACACGAGGACGATGATATGGAGGGGGTTGAGAAGGATGAGGACAAAGAGGAGGAGGAAGTCTTTGCTGATAGCAAGACTTATACGCAGAGGTTGCATGAGCAGATTAGTATGCTTGGGAAGAGCCAGGCTCAGAAGAGTGCGAGACCGAGCAAGAGTTTGGCGAGTTTCTTGCCGGCGGCTGCTGGCCAGCAGCAGCAGGGATCTGCTGGATCAATGCAGGCGGGTAGGCAGGCTTCTCCTAAGCCGAAGCAGCAGCCCGCTACTACGCCTGGTCCTGTTGCTGCTAATGAGGATGATTTCGTCCGGGGGATGGGTAGTCCGAGACCTCTTCCCCCTCGCCCTCAAACATCTGGTACGACAGAATGCAGAGACACAGGCGACATGTCACCTGCCTCATCTCTCCCCCGCAGTCGGCCGACTTCCCCCTCGAAGAACGTCTTCTCGCCGACGCATCGCACTCCGAACTCTCACAGCAAGTCTCAATCTGTGCCAGTCCTCCCGTCGTTGGAGCAGCTGCGTACTGGTAATCCTGAGGATGGCCCGAAGAAGACAATCGCACAAAACCCTACGCTGAGCACAGCAGCTGGTGACGGGCTGGTGGCTGGCTCGCCGGCGCCCAGGAGTCCCCGGAGCTTTAGGGATAACCCCCTGAAACAGGTCAAAAATAAGTTGAGCAGTTTTATTAAGAGCTCTAAGGGGTTGATTGGAAGCAGTGGTTCAGCTACTTTAGGGGAGAGCAAGACATCATCGGGTCTGGTGCAGCATACGCCGTCTGTGTCGCGCGCCCAGCAGCAGAAGGTTGAGAAGGAACGTGAAAAGGAGAGAGCAGGGGATGAGTCCGTCGAGTCGTATAAGACAGCGGATAATGTTGCGTATCCAGATCTCTCGCGCCAGGTGGAGGGTATCAACCCTACATCCGCAAAAGAGCAGCCGCAGAGTCCTGTGCAGAACGTGCGTAGGACGCGCGCATCCGCCGAACGTGAGCGCCTCGAGAAAGAGCGGGCCGAGAGTGAGCGCCAAGAACGGGAGAAGATGAGGGTTGTTGAGAAGGAACGGGAGCGGGTTGCCCAGATGGAGAGGCACATCACTGCGCAGCAGGAGAAGGAGAAGCAGGAGAAAGAGAGGAGGGAACGTGAGCAGGACTTCCGGACGCCTGGCCCCAGGCCAAAGAGCGTGGCTAAACCTGCACCGTCAACCATCCAAACGACCCCGCATAAGAATGCTGCTGCAGACGAGGATTTGGATATGACTGAGGCTCCGGCAACCATCGCTCCGCCGTCTGTTGCTCGCCCGACAACTGCTTCTTCAATGAGGATTCCGGCTGCGAAGAGACCGCTTAAGCCGACCAAGGAGGCGCTGAACCGGTCGACCGCGAAACAAGCGCCTACTGTGATCAAGGTGAATACCTCAAGCGCGGCACAAGTGTCGAATAGTGTTTTGGCGGCGACGTTAGGCGAGACATTGGCCCCTCCTACCAACCAAACGACTCAAGCACAGGCAGCTCAGGGGGCTACTGCTGTGAAGGGATTAAGTGGGAAGGGCAGCGCAGGCTCGTTGCGCGACAAACCCTCTCTCCAATCCCTCAAAAACTCGATGGCCTCCTCCTCCCAGCAAAAGCAGAAAGCCGCTGACGCAGCCGCCGCCGCGGCACAGAGGAAGAAAGAGCAAGAAGAGCGCGAGGCGCAGAAGAGGGAGTTGCAGCGCAAGCGGGAGCAGCGGGAGCGGGAGCGTGCCGCCCAGCAAGAGGAGGAGAGGCGTCGGAGGGAAGAGATGGAGCAGCAGAGAAGGTTGGAGGAAGAGCAGAGGAAGAAGGAGGAGGAGAGGAAGCGCAAGGCGGCGATCGAAAAGGCTAAGATGACTAAGGCGCCGCCGCCGCCGGTTAGGACGCAGCCTAATGGTCCGCCGGATTATAGCGCTACTGTCGAGAGGGAGAGGCAGACACAGCAGCCGGCTAGACCGCCTTCGAGGCTGGGATCGATTGCCGAGGGGGGGGTAGGTTAGTGAATACCGTGTTGTCGTCCACGGCGGCAGGGAAGGGGGCGAAGAGGCCGCTGCAAGAGGAGAAGAAGTACCAGGCCGCTGGGGTGGACGCAAAGAGAATGCGGATGAGTGAGGAGTTTGATGAGAATGTGGATATGGCTGAAGGAGGAGGAGGGGGCAGCTCTAGGATGATTAAGGGCGCGCCGATTAGGCCTAGTACTGGGTTTAAGAAGGTGAGTATTTCGACTGGGAAGTGAGGGTTGGGAGAGTATACTGACAAAAAAAAGCAGGAGATCCAGCCTCCTAAGCAGCATACGTACTCCTCCAACGCCCACGGCCACACCTACAGCAGCAAGGACCTGTTCAAAACAACCGTCATCTCGCAACACAACAACCAAAACGCAGGCCGTCCCGCGCATCCCCTCGACATGGCGCAGGTTGCTAAGGGCCCGATTCCGTTCGCCAACAATAACACTCAGGCGGCCTCTTCCCACAAGACCCCCGCCCGCGCCCCAGGAACCAATTCCACAGTCCCCTCGTCAGCTGCAAAATCCGCCGCCCGTTCCTCCCCACGCTTCCCCAATGGCGAGCTCATCGAGCTCCCGGACATCGCAACCGACGACGACGACGACTACTCCGACGCAGACAACTCCGGCTCCGGCGCAGGCCAGATGCTCCCCTCGTGGGCCGACTCGCCCGAGCTACGCCGGCAGCTGCTGGAGCAGGAAAGGATTGACCCGACTACTGTGTTTGGCGTGCCGCAGCCGCTCAACATGGAGGAAGTGTTTAACAAGAGTAAGGATCGGTGGCATCGGTTTAGGCAGCGGACGAGCAGTGCCAATTGGAGTGGGGCGGATCGGTTGACGGAGGAGGAAATGAGGCGGGACGCGATTGCTCGAGATAGGATGAGGAGGGAAGGGGGTTGGACTTGGGAGTTGGGGAAGGAGATGTATTAGTTGGTGCTGTGTTGGTGTATTGTGGTTAGGGGGTTTGTAGGATATATTTTTGGAAGGGGGAGGGGTTTTCGTGTTGGCTTACTTCGGGTTTGTGGTTGGTATTGTGTTTGTTTTGTTTACTTTGAGCTTACCTATGACGGGAGAGTGGAAAGCATTAGGGTTTGGTGAAAACAGTGGGAGGGTAGGTATAGCGAAAATGTTTTGGTGGTTGGGTCAAGACGGACAGGAAGGATCAGAGAAGAGAATCAATATGCATACAGAGTATGACTTTGATTCTTTTTTTTTTTTTTTTTTACGGGTTGTGTTGGACATTGTTGCATCGAGTGTACCTGCTGTACTTCTACAGCGTGTCTAAATCCAGGGTCTGCTATTTGCCGAACACAAGGTCAAGGAGTATATTCTGAGTGTTAGTGTGATGTTAACCTCGTTGAAAGAGTTGTAGACTCGATACAACATCCATTATGAACTGGGATGGTTTCCCATAACAGGTTGCCTTTCTCATGCACAATGAGTTATCGTCCTCCTTATTAAGCAGAGAATATTGTGGATATAATCCCCATGCCTTCCTCCGGGTATCACAAGCTAAACTAGCATTGGAAAGTTGAGGCTAAGTTGAGGTCCAGTCAGCTTCTGCTGTCAACAAGGGGCGGTATGTGTAAGGCTGCTTTATGTAACGCTCCATGTTGAACTTAGATATAAAGAACTTTTTGTGCAACCTTCGGCGTTAATATGAAATGGCATTTTAAATCCAAGGAGATTCAGTCTCTTAAGTTGGCTTTTCAACCAGCGAAGCTTCGGCCTGAAGTCAGTCACCGTCTCATGCCTCATTGAGGATTTGAGATAGATTTATGGCACTCATAGGTCTATATCTTCATATACAGAAACTGAAACTAGCATTGAAGAAGACAAGGACGTCCGGGAACTCTGAGTAGGGCTCGGGGACGTGAAGATTATGGTGACAGCAAATCTTGTCTCTCCAGGTTCCTTGGCTTTTCACACTTGACAGGGGATGAGGGACATGAGCAAGACCCAACTCATGTTGGGTGGCCTACGGGCACAATATCCTGCGGTTTCGAAAACAAGATTAAAAAAATGTCTTTTATGCTTCTCTCGGATCGTCCATTCACTGACAAAGCTCTCGGCACATGGATGTTGGTGAAGGCGAGAGGCGTTGAAATTTTAGCTTACGTAAGCAGACTACCCAGAGCTGAGGACCGACGTCATCGTTGAGGGGCTGAGCTTGGCGCAGCCCTAAAATGGTTGTTTGTTTACTTGCGGGAACCTGGACAGGTATTATCTCCAAAGAAGTTGCGATCGAAATTGAAGCAGGTTCCGTAGATCTCGTAAGAGCTGTCATACCGAATCATCACAAGACTGTCTCCAGGCTGTGTCACGGTTCCGGTTGCACATGAGCTGGGCTGACAGGTGACGGGCTGACCTGGGGACGTCCCCGGGCCAGTGGGGGGCTGAGCCTCGTAAGGTAACCTACAAGCCACTGCGGTGCCTGGTTAACCTGAGGCCAACAGCCTGCCGAGCAACAGGACGGCAACACTAACTTTATTCCTTCCTGCATCATCTCGCCCACTCTTCCTCTTTTCCGTCTTCTCTGTGCTGCGCGAATTCCGATCCTCTTTTTTTTTTTTTTTCGCCAAAATATCTTGAGCAGAACCTGGAAGCGAGAGCCCGCCACTCCATTTGCAGCCTGACGGGAAGTTTTATTTCATCGGGCTTTCCGGTCTGGCCATTCGTTCGTTACGCGTGCAGCGTCCCGCGAAAAATACCGTACGCGTCACTCGCATGTCTGCCCCGCTTCCTTCGTAAGAATCCACACTTCCACAACGGCCAGACTCTGTCGCCCCGGCAAACTCAGCGTAGCGCAGCGCAGCCGTAAACACTGAGCGAGTGACTGCTCAGCGTTCATTGCTGGCCAGATAGTGCAGCCCGCTTTGCAACCCGCTTTCGCATTCGCAACCACTCAACGAGAACTTCATCTGCAACCCATCATCCATTTCTGCCCGACCGTGTGCACCCTGCAACAAGCAAAGAACTGACTGTTTAACCCGATCAGCATCTGGCTCGCAGGCTGTGTGACCTGTGACTTTGTTGTTAGATTGTTCGCTCTACTACTGTTTATTTACTGCTGCAGACCTTTTTTTTTTTCTCTACTTTTCGGCCCGCTCCGCAGTCTCAACTTCCATTGCGCCCGTCGCTTTCCGGCCACTGTTCAGCCCTCGTCTCGGGCTTCAGAGGAAAGGAAAAAAAAAAACTGAATGAGTGTATGATCAGCTTTCTCACTTGGATAGTGCTATAACGACGTTTGCCTGCTCGCTGAGGTCGCCACCATGGCCAAGCTGGACCTCACGCGAGACTACTACGCCGACCTCGAGCTGCCTGTTGGTGCCGACATCAATGAGGTCAAGAAGCAGTACAGGAAGCTGGGTGCGTACAAGCTGAGGTACATTCTCTCTGAGCTCTGCTGACTGCTGTTTCCCAGCCCTCAAATGGCATCCTGATCGCAATCCGGGCAAGGAAGACGAGGCCAAGGAAAAGTTCCTGATCATCTCGACTGCCCATGAGATCCTGACCGACCCCGCGCAGAAGGCCAAGGTTGATGCCGCCCTGCGCCAGCGCAAAGCTCGTTACCCGACCGCGTCCGGCGTTCGCGGCAACCCTTGGGCGAACATGGCCCACGAGGTCAACGCCAAGTACGGGCCGCCGCCGCAGCGTCCTCCTATGCCGACTCGTCCGGCCGCTTCTGCAAGTGCTTCAGCATCGAACCGCTACTGGGACTGGGGTCAGAAAGTTAAGACTAAGATGGACCAGGCCCGCGCGAGTTCTGATGCCTGGGAGCGGTCGCGTCCTCAGCCAAAGCCGGCGTCCCAGCCTGGCCCTTCTGCTGCGTCAGCGTACCGCCAGAGCACTGCTCGTCCGACGAATCCTCCGCCCCCTCCGAGGTCTGCGGCGCAGGCTAGAAGACAGGAAGCTTCGTTTGGCACTAGGAAGCAAGGGTTTGCTCCACAAGCGCCGGGAGGCGATGAGCCCCCCGTTAAGAATCATCATTACACGACAACTCCCAAGGAGAGCATGCCCATACCTCCTGATGAGGACGAGACAGAGCCGAAGAAGCGCGACAACACCGAGCCGCTGAGCAGCCAGTTTCGCGAGACCTTCTTGGACCCTCGCCAACGCACGCCCTACGCCGCTAACGTGGGCGAGAGGACGAACCCATTTGAGCCGCTCAACAGTGTCAACCGCGCCAAGAGCATGCGGGATCCCGGCTCCCGGCAGTTCCGGGGCGGCGGCGATGATCCGGCCCGGTCGCCTACGGCTGGCCGTCAGCGCAGCCATAGCGTGGGCAATGATGGTCCGTTTACGAGGGGGGCTGGCCAGGAGACCTCGGGCAATGGCGCGCGCCCTTCGACGTTCCAGAATAATACGACCAATGCTCCGCCGACTGGGTCCGCTTTCGCGACAGGGCCCTCATTCCAGTTTGGAACCCGTGCTGCTGCTAATAATGGTGAGTCCTTCGCGTACTGTCCTGCTGAAGGGCAGAACATAGGACGAAACTGACGCTTTGGGAACAGCGAACGGAGAGACCAGAAGCAGCGAGACCAGCAATATGTATGGCCCTCCCCGCTCCTTTTCTCCTTACAGAAGAGCCTATGAGCAAAGCGCCCCAGATCGGCCATACCCTGAGGTGTACCGGATGCATCACTCAACTGAGCACCGGGATCGCATGCGGGGTGGCCCGTGGGCAGAGGAGATCTACTCTACTCCTAGTGGAGCATCTCGGGCTTTCTGGCAGCCCAGCAGCGCTGGTGCTGTCCCCCATGGATATGTCCCGAGAGACTCTGCCCAATGGCAGCAACCGGCCTGCTCACCGACTCCCAGTGGGATGAGGAGGCCAACCTTAAACGCAGGGCCCAATTCGTTCGAAAGGATGCTGCATGCTCAGTTGCAGCAAGTCCTCGCTAAGGCCTATGCAAAACGCCAACCAGAGCAGCCCTCGCCCAGCAATCCAGAGCCGAGCGGCTATGTCTTAGGCCCCAAGAAGACGCCCGCCTACCGCGTCTCCAAAAGCACCGCGGCTAACTCCAGTCACCCTGGCAGCTTCTCGTCGGTCCCGCTCGGCGCTGCGACGCCAGAAACGGCTCGATTCACGCGAAACAGCACGGATAACATTAACACGCAGTTCGTGGCCGAGGAAAAGCCTGGCTTCCACTTCAGCGCCGGCACCCCCAGCCCGACGAATTCCCCCTCCGACGATCACTTTACTCGTGCCAAACAGCGTGCTCGCGGGCACCAGTCGCCGCTGCGTAACACGTTTACCGCGTCGGACGAGTCGATTGCAGGTAATGCTGCTGCGAATGCAGGTGCTACTAACAATCAGCAGCAGGCTGGTAGTCCCAAGAAGATAGGCGATTTCAAGCCCGACGAGTGGAAGGAGCTTTTTACGCCGCATATTTTTGAGCCGCCACAGCCTAGCAAGCTGTCTAGCTCGCCTACAAGGCCGATTCGCCCGATCAAGAAGCGGACCACTGCTCGTGCGGGGGCGTCGGGCATGGCTGCGCGTGTTGAGTCGGACAGTGAGAGCAGCAGCAGCAGCAGCAGCAACAGCAGCAACAGCGATGAGACCCCGCGTCCGACGACGGCTAAGACGAGCGGTGGTATCGATGGGACTAGGAGCCCGAATGCCATGGATATCGATTCCCCTGCGGCTGCGTCCCCTTCGCCGTCGCCTGCCGCGGCGCCGGGTGCTGCTCCCCCTCAGCAGGCCAACAATGCGCGCAATGTCAATGTCGAGCCTACCAAACCTGAGTGGCGGCCCGGCAACGTCAACAACATCCCCCTCGGCACGAATGGCACCGCCCCGACCAACGACACTACTACAGCCGAACCCAAGCTCGGCGCAAACATCAAAATCCCCCACGCCAACCACGCCGGCTCCGAGGATACAGACCCTCTCCTGCGCCCTCTCTTCCCCGATTTTCGCAATACCGAGCCCTTCGCGCCGCCGAAGCCTGCCGGTCTGGATTCGTTCGCAGACCTGGGGTCTAACCTGCCTTTCCCCAGCCGTCCGGCAGCCAAAGTGCCGATCAGCAAAGACAGCCCTAAAAAGACAGTCCAGCTAAAAATGCCCTCCCCTCCCGCTGCTCCCAAACCCCCCGCGCAGATCCTCGAAATCCTCGCGTCAGGCGCCAAGCCTGCTAACGGCGCGTCAACCCTCAACTCCGCGTGGATCTCGTACACGGCGGAGATGAAGCGTTACTTTGAGGAGTGGAGTGCCTGGAATCGGAGGGTTACGGATCATTTTGCTGTCAGGCAGAGAAAGCATGAGGACAAGGGGTGGGCATGGGTTGCTGCGATCGGGGTTGATGCACCGGGGGTAGCGGAGTATCTTAGAGCGATGGAGGAGGATAGAGTGGTGAGGGAGGGATGGGAGAGCGCGTGGAGGGTGCATGAACGGGTTGTGGGGGAGTGGGTTGCTCTGCGCGCCAAGGTGTTGGGATGAAGGAAGTTTGGTGATGATGGTAGTAGTGATGATGATGATGATGGAGGAGGATGGCATATTTAGAGGTAGTTGGGTGTGACTTTGGGCTCTCATTAAAAGAAGTAGAGGGACTGTGTTGGATTAGGGGTTTGTGTGGGATTACTTTTCATGTCTGGTTTTACATGGTACGGTTCGGTTCAGGGGCGGTTTATCATCATGACGGACTATCAAGAGGACGGGCGGCCAACTTAAAAAAGGTTTATCACGGCTTATGGTTTGTTTCCTTTCAGGTGAGCCACTGTTTTACTTAACTATTTCTACAATACTGGACTGGATGGGATACGGAATGGACTGGATCGGACTGGCGGCATGGTCTGGACTGGGAAGACCGGCTAACGGCTGGCTGGCATTGACATGGAAAGGGCGGGTATTACTGTGTAGGAATAAGTGTCAGTGTTTTTGTATGTTGATACCCTGACTACATGAACTGGAAGATGGAATTCTTATGAAAAAGGTAGTTCTTGATGTCCCTGACTGTGTGTTTCCAGTGTTGAGCTGAGACTGTAGTCGGTTTCTGGACAAGGTCTGGTCATGAGATGGCCTGGCTTTCGCTTAGGTGTTTTCTTTTTTTTTTTTTCAAGACAATATTGGTTGGGAGAAAATAGAACGGTCGTGTCAGCACTTGCGTGCCTAAGGAAGACGAGGGATTCATCAAATATGGCCTAGCAAGAAGTTAAGACTGCATTGAAGTCGACTGATCTTAGGGCTATGCTGCTGGCCTAAGGTCTAGTGATTTAGGTGCCTTGCTGCCTTTGTAGGATGGTGTTTCACAGAGGTCTGTCTGGTCTTCAAATTGAATTAAACTTGATCATTCTAATTATCTCAGGGCCTTCAAGGTGATCCGGGACATGGGATGGGTTGGTAGGTTTCTCACCTCTCTACTTCATCCTTGTGATGTATGTAGAGTCCTGGAATTTTTGTCGAGAGAGAAGTTTTCCTCACTGTTTGCCTCTTATGAGCGAACCTTTGGAAAATGCCTAAGACAATCTAAGGAGGAATATGCTCCAAGTGTTTGCTGGGCGTCGGGTTTGCTTCATGGATGAGAGAGGGATGACCTGCCCTTGAGTAGCTCATGTGAGATAAGCTGACGGAAGGATGTATGCAACCTTGGGACATGTGTTGGCCTTCTGGATGCATCTATACCTGATCAGCTCATCTGACTTACTAGTTTTTATACTTCTACCTTTAAAAGACATGACCGCAACAGATGGGACAAGGAAAACAATTAACAAAGTTCCTCTCGATTCTCATCATCACTCCATTCATCTATAGATGAAGTTCCCTTTTCAGCTAAGCCTCGATAGATGCATCAACGCGTCCCACGCGTAGTCTTGGCGCCAAGCTGACCCGTCTTGGTGGCACAGTGGGGATAGGCTGCTATGCGATTCGCAGCCGCAGCAACAGTAGCAAGACTTCGACGCAGAGCCCAGGGCCAATTTCTCAGTTTCCACGATCCAATCCAACCAAACTCGACTCTCCAAACATACCCTCTCCCTCCAACCATTGGACTCCCGACGGAGTACCTTTTACCTCTTACAGTTTTTTTTTTTTTCCTCTCTTTACTCGAGAAGTCGATCTTACCTTTCATCGGCGGTTGGTAAGTTTCCAATAACGCCGGCAAAGCGAAGACTTCACCATTTGTCATCATCGCCGCCGCTGTCGAAGTCAACTTTAACCCTCACCCAAGGTGTGGATGCGACCCGCGCATCTGCATCGCTCTATTCTGGTTTGCTGCAGACTGCGCTTCGTCAGCTGTCGCCCAGTCCGTGCACCGGCCTTACCGTTTCGCCTTTTCCCGTCGGCTGTTTGTCCGACTTTCCACTCGCGCCCCTCGTTCCCTTTCCTGTTTCGCAGATACTCGACTGCACAAACCGACGCAGACATGAACGGCGCCGCCTCCGCCGCGCGCTCCAAGCGCAAGGACCCGCCGCACCCGGTCGACGGCCGGCATCCCAAGCACCACCGACCGAACGGCGACTTGTCCGAAGAAGGGACGCCCCACGAAGAATACGAGAGCAGCGCCGCGAGCGGGTACGATGACTACGACGAGCTGAGATTGCCGTCGGCAGCGGCCATCATTCCCCCTACAACCGCGACGACCGACTCTGCCGAGTGGCAGGCGACGATTCAGAACGTGGTCAAGAGCGTCGTGTCGATCCGGTTCTGTCAGACGTGTTCGTTTGATACTGATCCGGGCCTGTGCAGTGAGGCCACCGGGTTTGTGGTTGATGCTGAGAGGGGGTATATCCTGACGAACCGACACGTCGTGGGCGCGGGCCCGTTCTGGGGCTTCTGCATCTTTGATAATCATGAAGAAGTGGACGCGTACCCCGTGTATCGCGACCCTGTACACGATTTTGGCATCCTCAAATTCGATCCCAAGGCGATCAAGTACATGCCCGTGCGGGCACTCCCTTTACGTCCCGATCTCGCGAAAGTGGGCGTGGAAATCCGAGTCGTCGGTAACGACGCAGGCGAGAAGCTCAGCATCCTGTCCGGCGTCATCTCCCGACTCGACCGCAACGCGCCCGAGTATGGCGAGGGCTACTCTGACTTCAACACGTGCTACTACCAGGCCAGCGCTGCGGCCAGCGGTGGGAGTTCCGGCAGCCCGGTCGTCAACATAGACGGGTATGCTGTCGCGCTGCAAGCGGGCGGCCGTGCAGATGGTGCGGCGACGGACTATTTCCTGCCGCTGGACCGCCCGCTGCGCGCGCTGAAATGTCTACAAGAGGGCAAGCCGATTACGCGCGGCGATATCCAGTGCCAGTTTCTGCTCAAGCCGTTTGATGAGTGCCGGCGGCTGGGGCTGACGCCCGAGTGGGAGGCGCGCGTGCGCAAGGCGTTCCCAAAGGAGACGAACATGCTCGTGGCTGAGATTATCTTGCCCGAGGGTCCGTCGCATGGCAAGATTGAGGAGGGAGATGTGCTGATCAAGGTTAACGATGAGCTGCTGACGCAGTTTATAAGGTTGGACGATATCCTGGACTCGAATGTCGGGAAGCCGGTGAAGTTGTTGCTTCTGCGTGGAGGAAAGGAGGTCGAGGTGGAGATTGAGGTCGGTGATCTGCACAAGATCACGCCCGATCGGTTTGTTTCGGTCGCCGGGGGCAGCTTTCACACGCTCTCTTACCAGCAGGCGCGGTTGTATGGCGTCGCGTGCAAGGGTGTCTATGTCTGCGAGGCTGGCGGTTCCTGGAGGTTTGATTCAGCTGAGAACGGCTGGCTGATCCAGTCAGTCGACCACAAGAAGACGCCGGACCTGGAGACGTTCATCGAGGTCATGAAGAATATCCCCGACAAGTCGCGTGTGGTCGTCACGTATAAGCACCTGCGCGACCTGCACACCCTCAACACGACTATTATTTATGTAGACCGCCACTGGTCGCGCAAGATGAAGCTTGCCGTGCGCAACGACGAGACCGGGCTGTGGGACTTTACGAATCTCGCTGACCCCTTGCCTCCTGTTCCCCCCGTCCCCCGCAAGGCGTCCTTCATCCAGCTCGATAATACGATCCATCCTGCTGTCGCCGACCTCGTGCGCAGCTTCGTACACGTCAGCTGCACCATGCCCGTCAAGCTCGACGGCTTCCCTAAGAATCGGAAGTGGGGGATGGGCTTGGTGGTTGATGCTGAGAAGGGGCTGGTGATCATCTCACGGGCCATCGTGCCGTACGATCTGTGCGACATTAGCATCACCATCGCCGACTCGATCGTTGTCGAGGGCAAGGTGGTCTTCTTGCATCCGCTGCAGAATTACGCCATAATTCAGTATGATCCGAAGTTGGTCGACGCGCCGGTGCTCAGCGCCCGGCTGAGCACGGAGGAGATCACCCAGGGCCAACCGACCTATTTCATCGGGTATAACCGCATCGGACGCATCGTCCACGCCGCGACGACCGTCACGGAAACCTTCGCCGTCACCATCCCCGCCAACTCGGGCGCGCCCCGTTACCGCGCCGTCAACATCGACGCCATCACCGTCGACACTTCGCTGAGCGGTCAATGCGGCTCCGGCGTGCTCGTCGCCCAAGACGGCACCGTCCAGGCCCTCTGGCTGACTTACCTCGGCGAGCGCAACCCCTCGACCCACCGCGACGAGGAATACCATCTGGGCTTTGCCACTCCATCAATTATTCCAGTTGTTCGTCAAATCCAGCAGGGCGTTGTCCCCAAGCTGAGGATGCTCTCTGTCGAGCTGCGCGCAATCCAGATGAGCCAGGCCCGACTAATGGGTGTTTCTGAGGAATGGATTCACGAAGTATCACTGGCGAATACCTCGCATCATCAGCTGTTTATGGTTGCCAAGAGGACGTTTGAGCGCGATACGGAGCATATACCCCCGGATGAGCAGCTCCTGGAGGGGGATGTGTTGCTCACGTTGAATGGGAAGATCGTGACACGGATCTCGGATCTGGATGTCATGTATTCGCATGAGTACCTCGATGCGGTCATCGTCAGGGACTGTCAGGAGAGGAGACTGAGGCTCAGGACGGTCAGCGCGGATGATGTAGAGACGACGCATGCGGTCAGCTTTTGTGGTGCTATTTTGCATCGGCCGCATCATGCTGTTAGGCAGCAGATTTCCAAGTTGTTTAGTGAGGTGTATGTGTCCGCGAGGACCAGAGGCAGTCCGGCGTATCAGTATGGGCTGGCGCCAACGAACTTTATTACGCATGTGAATGGGCGACCGACGCCGGATTTGAAGAGTTTCTTGAGGGAGGTGGTGAAGATTCCGGATAATACTTGTGAGTTTCCGTCCCCCCCTCTCTCT